TCCCCCGCCCCTCTTCTCTGAGGTTTGTCAGTCTGAACCATGCTCCTTTCTATGTCTCTGGGTCTATTTTATTCATCAGCTTATTTTGTTCATTATATTCCACAAATAAGTGAGACCATGTGGTATCTGTCTTTCTCGGATCAGCTTATGTCGCTTAGCATAATGCTCTCTAGGTCCCTCCATGTCATCTCAAAGGATAACAGCATTGAATTTTAAATAGTATCTCCCTGCTCCACAAATCACCCTCTCACATAATATATATTGTTTATTTTGTCTGTCTGTCTGTAGAACAGACGTTCCAAGGGCCCCATTGCTTAGAATAACGCCTGGCCCGTGGCAGGCACTCTGTAAGTGTTTATATAATAAGTGGATGGGCTTAACCACTGGGCTACACAGCTTGCGGTTTCAGAGGTTGTGATTCTGAGTCTCCAGGGTGTGGGTGTTGGGGGCATTCTGAGCCCAGGGACAGGGTCTCTGAAGAGGGGGAATGACTCCCCAAGGGGATAGGGAGTTCACAAGAGTGAGTGGTCTCACCAGACCCTGTTCTAGAAAATCAAAATCCTTCAAAATCTTCCTGTTCACCCAGGGAGGTCCTGGTACCTGCTGCCTCCTGCGTGATGCTGGCCTTCCTGATAAAACCCACTCCCCAAGATCTGAGGGACCATGGAGACCACCTAGGAGGCAGAAAAATCCACTGGGCCTGGAGTCTAGAATCTTTGAGTTATAAGGGCTTTGACTGCATAGAATGGGAAACTGAGGCCCAAAAAGGTGAGAGACTCACCCAGCACCCTATGAACCATGGTGGGCAACACAGGCATAAGACCCTGCGCCAGAAATCCAGGAAGAAGCAGGAGAGGCCAGCGAGGGTCCGGCCCTGGTCCCTGCCTCGCTGTGTGACGTGTGGCAAGCAGAACAACCTCTCTGAGTCTGCTTCCCCAGCAAGGAAGCTCTGTGCTCAGGCTCGCAGGCCCAGCAGGACTCTGGCCCCCATCCCTCCAAGGCGCCCCCACTGTGGAGCCGCCAGGCCTTCCTGTTTACTCGAGGCCCCTCTCGAGGCTGGGAGGCGACAGCCTTGGCCTCTTCTGCTCCCCGCTTCCTTCCTCTCCCACTTCAGCGCCTCTGGCCAGGTCCTCAGCGGCCGCCCCCACCGGAGGCCAAGACTTAGGGGCACAGTCCAGAGTCCAGTGGGGCCATCTGAGGCCACCACCCCAGAGGGCCTAGCTAGGAGCACTTTCTCTCTGAGACCCTGAGGTTACAGAGGCCCTAGGCCATCCGTCTGACTGAATGCTCTGGCACCTTGGGACAAGCCACTTCCTGGAGTGTTCCTAGAGACATGAAGGGTATGACAGCATCTCCTGTCCTGCATCCGAGGCCACGCCCACCCCTCCACCCTCCAGTAGGGGATGAGCACCCGCTGACCTTAGAAGTGCCTCCTCCTCCCCACCCTTCCCGGCTCCCGGCTCCACAGAGCAATTTCTCTCCCAGCTACCCAAGGTGTGGGCCTTGGACCAGCAGCTGAGGCCTCACCCTAACCAGGTCTGTTGAATCAGACCCAGCTTTTTAACCCTGGGGAGATTCGTGTGCACTTGAAAGCAGAATGCTGCTGATCTGACCACCCTGCCTCGTGTTAAAACCCTTCCTGAGCCCGGCCTATTAGGTCTCCTTGTCCCAAAGGCTTACCCTGAGTCTCTGAGGCCTTTACAACTAACTTCCAGGGTACAAGAATTCAGGGAATGGAGGACCAAGGTAAACGACACCACCAGGAAGCAACAGACAAATCTGGAAGGAGGAATTTTCTGCAGGACAACAGGTCCCTTCAAAGGTCAATGTCATAAAAAGAGGGGGCAAGCCCGGCCTGTGTGGCTCAGTGGGAACATCATCCCGTGGACTGAGAGGTCCCAGTTCGATTCCTGGTCAGGGCGCATGACTGGGTTGCGAGCTGGACCCCCAGTAGGGGGCATGCAGGAGGCAGCTGATCAATGTTTCTCTCTCACATAGATGTTTCTATCTCTCCCTTCCTCTCCCTAAAGAATCAATAAAAACATATTTTTTTAAAAGAGGGGGTGAGTCGGTGGAGGCTAAAGTTTGACGAACGGCACAAGTGCACTGCGTGGTCCTGAATTGCCTCCCAGCTTGAACAAAGACACATTTGGGAGAAAATTGCATGTGGACTGATTATTATCATATTATGATATTAGTGTTAATTTAGTGTCATCGAAACTCTGAGTTGTGGATATATAGCAAAATGTCTTTATTTAGCCCTGTCCGGTTTGGCTCAGCAGTTAGAGCGTCGGCCAGCTGTCTAGAGAGACCCAGGTTTGGTTCCCGCTAAGGGCACGTACCTCGGTTGCAGTTTGTCCCCGACCCCGGTTGGGGTCGTATGGGTGGTAACCACTCGATGTGTCTCTCTCACACCAATGTTTCTCTCTCTCTCTTCCTCCCGCTCTATCTGAAGATAAATGCAAAAAAGTCCTCAGGTGAGGATAAAAAAATAAAAATAAAGTCTTTATTAGTGATACTGAAGTCACACGTTAGAGTGAACTTTTTTCATATCTATCATTTTCTTTAAAATAGTTTGACAACGGTAAAACAACAGTGAAGGAAGTACAGAAAATGTTAACAATTACTAAATATTGGTGAGTGTATAAGGATGTTCATTATATCATTTCCTCCAATTAGATTGTTTGAAAGTTTTCATTGAAAACAAAACTCCCTGAGCCTCCCGTTGCCCTCTGGGGAAAGACTAGATACCGGAGTTGGCATTCAAGGCCCTGCAGGCCTGGCTTCCATCGCCCGCCAAGCTTGTTTCTAGCTGGGGCACCCCTCTAGTCTGCATCCAGCTCCCACTGATGCCTCAGCCCTCCCTCCACTCGACTGGTCCTCTCCACCTCTGCAGCTCTGCAGAGCTGTTCCCTCTGCCTTTCCATGCCCTCTGTCTCGTGGTGAAGTGAACTCCTAGGTGTGCGTGTGGCCCCACTCCAGAGCGCCAGGTCAAGGACCTTCTGCCAGCGAGGGCCTCTCGGAACGCATGCACCGAGCTGCCCAGAGCTGGTCGCGGAGGAGGTCTGATGGGATTCGGTGAGCACGGGTCCTCTCCCCACACCAGGACTCACATCACAGGGCCGGGGCTGTAAGCCTCTGTCCTGCCAGCACAGCGTGTTGCCGAAGGAACCACTGTGCGTGAAAGAAACCCCCAAAGGAGGGTTTGTGGGGGCAAGGATGGGGTAGTGTTTATTGGAGCTTTAAAAATTTTTTTTTTAAGTTTCCAAGCTTTTTTTTTTTTTAAGGGAACAAAGTGATTCTGTGGTGAAGAATGTGGGTCAGCTTAGGTTTTCATACATTGGGAGACACCTGAATTCATGACACTGTAATAAGAAAATAAAGATGATGATGTTGTCGGTGGATTTCCCCTGCTCCTCCTCACTGTCTTTGGCGTGTTTTCCCACTCACCCTCATGTGGATCCTCAGACAACCCCGTGATAAACGGGCAAGTGTGTGTGAGCGTGTGCGTGTGCATGTGTGTGACATGGGCACCCCCAGGCGGAGGTCCCTGCACACCCCAGGAGGCGTGGGGAACAGACACCAGCTGCAGAGGCCTTCACCCACCCCCACCCAGACCGGACAGCTCCCCCGCGATGCCTGCCTTCCTCTCTCCCGTGTTATCATTCATTTATTTTGTGCTGTTCTTTCAATAGACTCACCTTTTAGAACTTAAATACATTTATTTTCAAGGAAAGTTTAAATAACTAATGTAGATGGAAAACCAGCCACATTCGCCATAAATAGAAGGGACAGACAGAGGGCACGATCAGCCTACGCAGGACTTCAGTCCAGCCAGTGCGGCCGCGGAGGGCTCCCTCGGCTTCAAGGGACACTCTGGGGCTGGGACAGGTATCAAAGACACGTGAGCACCAAATGGAGCCTTTCTCCAAGATGAGGTCCGAGAGTGAAAGAGAACAGAAAAGGGAAGACAGTTCTCCCCAGGGGGTTCGGGGCCTCCCCAAAGCACCCAGGCCTGGCATATCCCCAAGGCTGCTCTGGTCTCCTGCTCCCACAGGCCTCGGTAACTAATAGTCTACATCTTTTGCCTAGTGTTCTCTTCCTAACCTGGAAGGGGGGGGGCGGGGGGGGCGGGGGGGCACTGAGCTTAATTTAAATTTTGAAGTGGGCCTAGAAAGAACAGGTTGTGCCCAGTCGGTGAGGCTCAGTGGATTGAGCATTGTCCCACGGACTGAGAGGTTCCGGTTTGATTCTTGCTCCAGTTCCCCATCAGGGCACATGCTTGGGTTGTGGGCTCGATCCCCAGTAGGGGGCGTGCAGGAGGCAGCTGATCAATGTTTCTCTCTCACATGGATGTCTCTCTCTCTCTCTCAAACATCAATTAAAAATATATTTAAAAAAGAAAGAAAGAAAGAACAGGTTGTGACCTGTCCAGGGCCACATGGTGGGAAGCCCTTTGGATCTCACGCCCTCAGGGAGGCACTCCTGACCATGACCCTCCCCCCCCCATTCCATCTTGAGGCCTTTTCAGATCCTCAGGGCTTCTTGAACCGAGGAGGTCAATTCACTGCCCACTTGGCTGGCTAATGTGGGCCACCCCACTACCAGGGAGCCCCCCCACTGCCCAGGAAGTCCCCCACAGCCCATGACCTCACTGCAAGCTAGAGCTCAGTCCCCAGGGGGGGGTTAGCACAGAAAACAGGCTCAGAAAAATAAGGGGTCAGGGTCGAGGCCACACAGTGATGCAGAGGAACCCAGGCCCAGGCCCAGCTCTGCCTGACCACGGCCCGGGAGCAAGGATCCTGCGTCACCCTGGATCTCCAGGCCCGGCCGGCATGCCCTGGGTCTTCCCCCAGAGCTCAGGGAGGAGCAACTGCGTGAGGGGCTGAGGGGCCCGAGGAGGAGTGGGGAGGGGGAGGGGCTGGGGACGCAAGGCCAGGGCAGCCATCCCACATCAATCAACCCCGATGGAAGCAAAGAAAAAGGAGTAAAACCGAATGTCCTCGGAAATTCCTTTAGTGCTCAGCTGTCCGTGAAAACAGGATAAAGTGGCTTCCTCTGTCTGTGCTCCAGCCAGGCAGGGCGGAGGCACTGAGCTCAGGCCAGGGCTCCTGAGTCAGGACAAGGGTGGGGCTGGGCTCTGAGCTGGGGAAGGGGCTCCAGCGTCGCTACTTGAGGGCATCCAGGTGGGTGCAGACCTGGGAGAAGACACTGTCCACAGAGCCTTCGGCATTGACCTGCAGGGAGACTGGTGTTGAGCAAGGGAGGCCTGGCCCCACCCTGGCAGGCCCCTCCCCCAGAGGCCAGGCCTGGCTCCGGAGGCCAGTCACAGTGGACAGCAGCCCCTCATCAAACCAGGGGGAAACCAAGGCCCAGGGAGGATGCCTGGCCCAAGGTCACAGCTATTTGAGGCCAAGCCAGGGAAAAACCCAGGTTTCCTGGGGCTCCCTTGGGCCTGCAGAGGGCGCACCTTGCGTACAATGCCACGTTTCTCATAGAAGGTGATGACGGGTTCTGTGGCCTTGTAATAGGTATCGAGCCGCTTCTTGATGGTCTCCTCGTTGTCGTCCACACGCCCGCTGGTCTCTCCGCGCTTCAGGAGCCGCTTGGTCATGGTCTCGGGGCCTGCGTCCACGTACAGCAGCAGTGTGGGCTGTCCAATCTGTGGGCAGGGCACTAGTCACAGGGGCCCTTTCCTGCCACCCCAAGGCCATCTCCTCCCCACCTTCCACTTCTGGGGCTCCACTTGAGATCCACTCGGACCTTCAAGCCTTTCTGAAGACAGCCTGACAGGCCTTCCTAAAACCAATCTGCCCTGCCAGCCCCCTGTTCAAACCTCTCCCTTGGCTCCCCAGCGCCCTCAGGAGAAAGTGCAAACTCCTTTCCCGACCTATGAAAGCCGGCGCCGTTGGGGTCCCACCACCCCATCCTCATCTCATGCTTCTCACTCCGTTGCTCTCCTTGCTTCAGCCAGACTGACTTTGGTCTAGGCTGGCTCTGATCACCCTCCTCATGGGCCAGGCCTTTGCTCATGCCAGGGACCCTCTGCTTCAATACCAAGTGCTCGCCTTCAGATTTGAGCTAAAATCTCCTTCTTCTAGGGCAGTCTTCCCAGATGCCACCCCACGCCATCCCCAGCCCCCTGCGTCCTGCTCTTCCAGTCCCCTTTACTTCTGCCTTTAGCACTCTCAGGAGGACCTCTGGTCCCTCTCCCCAGCCTGGCCCAGAGCAGGGCTAGATAAGGACTTGACAAGAACCGAGGGTGAGTGAGGGGGGAGAGGCAACTGAGCTCTGGGGGGTTCTGAACAATATCACTGTCACTGGAATGAGTGTTTCATCACCATGAAGGGCAAAAACTAATGTCAACCTTTCTTTGGTGAGGACCTGGCGCCCCCTGGTGTCCAAAGTTAAAAAAAACAGGTGCTGGACTCCCTAAGACCACAGCTGGGTTGGGCCCTGTACGGAGCCAGGCACCCACACCAACACCCACAGCAGCCCCAGGAGGGATGAGAACTTTCATGAACCTTATTTTCTAGATGTTGCTCTGAGGGTCAGAGGTGTCACACAGCTGGTGCCTAGGTCCATGGCCTCCCAGCCAACCTCCATTTCACAGAGAGGGAAACTGAGGCCCAGATCAGGGGAGACACTTTCCTAAGGTCTTGCAGTCACTTAGAGCGCAAGAAATACAGTATCTGAGCTCTGGATGTGGCTCAAAGCTATGGGAGCCTACAGATGGCTCCTGTCTCAGACATGGGGAGTGGGCATGAGGGTCTGGTCCAGCCTCTAGCCCTTGGGATGCTCAGTCCTCCTTCAAGGCCTAGAAAGAGTCCCTCTGCCAAGAAGCTCTCCCCGAACTCCCACACACCCTACTGGCCTCTCCCACCTTGGCACCTACAGCTCGTCTGTTCTCCCATTTGGTGTGTAACACCAGAGGTATGGGTATATGCGTGCATGGGTGTGCATCTGTGTACAGGCGCAGAGTCCGTGTACATGCATTGCCTGAGGTGCATGTGTGTGCTCTGGCAAATGCGTGTGCACATGTACACAGGCCTCTGTGCATGGGTGCAGATGCTTGTGGCTTTGTGCACACACGTGTGCCTCTGTGCCTGTGTACACATGTACGTGTGCTTGTGTGCCTGTGTGTGCATGCACGTGCCTGTACGTGTGTGTTTGGGAGAGATGCCCTCACCCTGTGGAAGATTTTCCTGGTGGGCACCCATTCCAGGCAGCTCAGAGGCATCGTCCTCAGGGCCCACTCTCTCCAGCCAGACTCCCTGTGGCCACTGGAAGGAGACGACTCTCCTCAGCAGCATCCAGAGCCTGCAGCCAGGCCTGGGCCTCCTTCTCCTGCATCATCCCCAGCTGCCCTGTCCCAACAGCTTCTGTTCTGCCCACCCGAGCCTGACCCTTCCAGCTCTGCTCTTCCCTGCCCCCCTGACCATGTGTTTACAGATGCCAAAGCCCTGCTTTTGAAGAGCACATTCTCTCTAACCCCATTCTACCCCACAAGGCAGCTGTGCCGTCTATCCCCGTTTTGCAGATGGGAACACTGAGGTTCAGAGAGGCGGAATGACAGCCCCAGGCCTCAAGCAGAGCAGTTGAGCAGAACCTGAGCCTGGCCAGGCTTGTGAACGCCTCAGCCTGGTGCTTCCCATTCTCCTAGACCTTTCTTCTCAACTTCTAGAAATACTCCCAGAAAGTCTTCCCTGGTTCCCCTCGGTACCCACCCCCCGTCCCCTGCAAGCAGTCTCTCTCTCTCTGCCCATCACAGCAGCATCTGCCTCCCCCTACCCAACAATTCCTGCTCCCGAAGGCCACCCACCAGGTTGTGCCTTACCCTCTGCTCAAACTCCTCCCCTTGCTGCACCTCCCGAGGGTAGCCGTCAATCAGGAAGCCTTTGGAAGTATCTACCTTGGCCATCATGGCATCTCGGAGCATATCCAACACTGTCTCCTGCGGGCATAGCAGAAAACGAAGGGACATGAGCCCCTCCCGACCTCCCCCTGGGCCTGGTGTGCACTACGCCACAGCTGAAACGCCCTGGCACAGATGTCCTGAACAAGCCTCCCCTCCAGGCCTTCTCTGAGCCATGACGACTTGATGGGTGGATCACATCATCCACTCATTCATTCATTCATTCATTCAATAATATAGACGCAGCCCCTCCTCCCGCCAGCTCCTGTTGGGGCCCAGAGGACAGAGCTGTGAGCAGAGACGTCCCTGCCCTCAGGACACTTGCAGTCTATTGATTTATCAGTTTCCAAGTCTGACACGGGTTGTATGGGCAAAGAAGAGGGGCTACTCCAGTATAAGGTTAGGGGGGCCGTAGCCCAAATCTGAAGCGTTAGGAAGGTCTGAAAGCTAAGAAGGAATACACGTTCCAGACAGGAAGGAGTCTGATGAGTTTGAGGGACAGAAAGGCCAGGGTGGTGGAAGAACTGAGGGGTCAGCACTCGGGGTCCTGGAGGCGCCTGGGAGCTTCTGGAAGGAACTGTGTGCCAAGGGGAAGGGGGACCCACAAAAGGGTTCAGAGCCAGGCAAGGTCATGGTCAGCCTTGTCAGTGCGTCGTGAGCTTTGCTGGCTGATGTCCATCAGGGCCGCCACTCCCCGCCCCACCCCACTGGGGCCCACTCACCAGCGGCACCAGTTGCCCCTTCTCCATGATTTCCGACAGCATCTTGCCCCTGGCCGAGCCCGAGCTGACCTCGGCCCGAAGGAGGTCCCCGGTGGAGAGGTGGGTGTAGCCGTACTTCTGGACAATCTTCTCACACTGGGTGCCCTTCCCTGAGCCGGGCCCGCCTGCAAGCGCCCACCCATTCAGAAGCCCTGAGAAACGGGGTCCCCTGCAGGGACAGGGTCTGCCCAGGTTACCCACCGAAGGAGGGGCAGAGCCCAGGGTGCAGCCCTAGGCCCCCGCTCCCACCAGTGCCTGCAAAGACCCCTGCTAGTGCCTCGCCGGCCTGCCGTGGACTCACCCACCACGAAGATGATCTTGGTTTTCTTCAGCTTCTCTGTGGGAGAGAAGAGGGCAGAACTCAGTCACTCGCATGACAGAAAGCTAGAAGCGCCTCTGCCTCCGGGCCTGTGCTGGGGAGGCAGAGGGACAGCCAGGCTCCTGTCAGCCAGCGTGAGCTGGGACAGGTCGGGGGAGAGGGGACGTTCCAGGCAGAGGGACCAGCAGAGGGACTCTGAGGGACCCAAGTCACCCCAATCCCTGTGGGTGGCTGGAGAGCAGCTGCTGCTCACCTCTGGCCTTAGCGTCCTCCTGACTGCGGGGGGTTTCTGATGAGCAGCAGGCACCCATGTTCCCGGTCTGCTGTGTCCCCTCCCCTTCCCCTCCCGGGCCTTGGCCTGCCCATCGCCCACCTTCCCTAGGCGGTACTAATGCAGAGTTGGCAACCACAACATATGTTTCCCTGGACACTGTTGCCAGGGAGGAGGGCTGCGGTGGACATGTGGAACCCCTGCCCAAAGAGAGAGGCCAGCTTACATTCCAACCTCTGTCTTACCCACCCTCAGAACTCGCAAGACCACGGCCCCGCCAACAGAGGGAAACTGAGGCCTAGAGGGGCAGGGGCCTGTCGTAGGGCTGCCAGAACCCAGCTGGAACCCCGGGCCTCTTCTCAGGCGGCCGGCCTTCTCCTCCCGGGGGAGCAGGACCTGGCGGTGAGGCCTTTAAAGGGAAGACCCTGCCCCTTTCTGGGTCTCTGTCCCCGTCCCAAGGAGGCGGCGAGCTCAGAAGCTCCCAAAGGCACTCCCAGCCATGGGCTAGAGCCCAGCGGAGCTGTCGGAACGACTTCTCCCCTGGCTTCCTGCCATCTGCCTGCCGTGTGATGGGCACAAGCCTGGGTGCGGGGGAGGCTGCAGCCCAGTGGCAGCTGACATTCAGAGCCCCAGGGGTGGACGGGTGACCACTGGTTTCAGGCAGCAGCAGCCAAGCTTGCTGGGCTCCTTTAAGAAGTGCCCGGGCTGAGGCTCAATGCCAGGGACGGGACCGGCGGTGCTGCCAGGGGACAGGCCAGCTGGGCTCTCTGCCCATGACTCCTTCTAGGTCGGGCCCAGAGGAGCCTGGAAGCGCCAAGAGCCACCCCCTGGACAACGGGGACACTGTCCCCGAGAGGGCATTTGCACACCTGGGGCCTCTCCCCCAGGACAGGCCTCTCACCAGTACCACCCTCTCCAGAAAGAGGCTCCAGCTCTAAAAGTTCCAGCCTGGGAGGTGAGCTGTGGGGCCCCGAGGAACCTCAAAGAGGTCTCGTCACTTCTAAAATCAACCTTGAAGCTGGCACATCCCAAGAGAGGCCGCAGGAGGGTGCCGGAGCTCCCAGAATATCCCAGAGCCGCCTCCACCCACTCCCAGCGTGTCTCCCGAAAGCACACCCTTTTGACAGGCAGGCACACTGAGGCCGGGCAGTGAGCAGGAGAGGGGGCTCCATACCTTCCATCTTGCCGAGGTCCGGAGAGGGGAGTCAGCCTCTGTAAGACAAGGCACAGGTGGGGCTGGTGAGCGCGCTGTCCCCACCTGCCTCTGCTCCCCCCAAGCCACAGGCCCGGGGCTGTGCCAGGCCCCGACTTGCCCTAGGCGGGGCTGCTGGGGCGGGCGGCCCAGGAGCCTGGGTGGCCTCGGGAAAGCCATCTTTCTTCCTTGTGCTTCGGGTGCCTCACCTGTCCGGAAGGGCACAGCCCCCTCCCGCCACTGAGGGGCGTGAGCCGAGACCCCAGCACCCGCGGAGCCGGCTCTCCTCGCAAGTCCCAGCACCCAGGTCCTGTGTCTGCCCAAAACCTTGACGACGCTCCCCAGGCAGAGGGAGAGCAGAGCTGCCAGGAGGCGGGGAGAGGACAGGACTGCGAGTGTCCTCGATGGGGATTGGAAGAGGGTGCCCAAAGGGACACAAGTCTGAAGGGAGGAAGCTGCCTTCACATGCACAGAGCCCTGCAATTTTCAAACGAGGGTTCTAGGCTCCCACCGCACTCCGCCATGTGGGCCCTGCCCCTCACCCCCGGAGGACCTCCCTCCACTGCCCTCCTTCCCCCAGCATGTCAATCAACCCCAACCCCTCCTGGCACCCACTCTACTTCCACAGGCCCCCAGGGACCTCCCTCAACCTCCCCTTCCCATCAGCCTCTTCAGAATTGCTGCCTATACGCCGTTCGCCTTCACCCACCAGCCCTCCTCAAGGCCACCTGCAACTGTCACCCCACTCTTGCCTTGACCTTTGACTCTCGACCCTTGCCACCATTCCTCCTGCCTGGGACCCTCACCTCAGACCCTTACTCCACCCTCTCACTATTGGCTTCAGGTTCCCAGGACCCCCCATCCCTGCCCAGCCAGCCAGGTCTCTACCCAGCTCCGTAAACCCATACCCCTGGACAGGCCGGATGCCCTGCAGACTGAACAGCCACGCCTGTGCCCCCAGCTAGAGGCCCTTCTCTCACACCCACCATCCCAACCCTGTTGCTCCTGAACCTCTCTCCGATCTATGTCCTCATGGCCGTTTCCTTGTTCCAAGCAGGGGTCTCCCACCTCCATACCCCACCAGGCCATCTGCAGGATGTTCCCACAAACATAGACCGTATCACTCACCTGCTTACAACCCTTCCACCTGTGGGCCCCTCAGCTCTCAAGATAAAGCCTGTCTCCCTCCACCCCCCACCTTCTGCAGCTTTATCAACTGCCACTTAAACTTCTGGGAGCTCCCTCACCCACCATGACAGCGTCCCGCCTCTGGGCCCCGGCTCATGGTGCACCCAATGCCTGAATGCCTCTCCCTAGGGTATTAATATTTAGGATTCACTTCAGGTGTCATCTCCTCCAGGAAGCCTTCCTGGACTCTGCCCTCCTCCTCCCCTGGCAGATACCTCCTCTGACCTTGCCCTGGTGTCACCCACGCCACACTGCATCGGACCTCTCTGTTGTAGTGTGCGCCTGTGCTCCCCACCAACTGGGCCTGGCCCGGGCAGATCACAGGGCTAGGGGCCCTACTCCATCGTCACAGCCGTCTTGGGAAGAAACTGAGGCTGGGAGAGGAGAGACTTGCTCCAGGGCCTGGCTGGAGTCAAACCCAGGGCTGCATTTTCTGCTGCTCTGGGCCCAGCACCCAGTAGGTCCTTAAGCAGCTGCTTGTGAGACATGAGTTATAGCCTCTTGCCTGCTGAGTATGCTTAAGGAAGAGTAGTAGCTGCCAACACTGCTCAGCAGCTGGGGGGGATGGGCAGGGTCCCCAGGCCAGGGACAGCCTGCAGTGACCCCACCCTGCGCCACCTCCTCCCAGTAACCTAAGCCCCACAGTTCTGCTGGAACCTGCCACCTCCTTGGTCCAAAATAACCTGGGTTGTGAGGAGGCCTCACAGAGGTCGGGGGTTCAGGATGGAGTTAGGTTACGGGCTCGACACCCAGGCCTTATAAGGCCCCTGGAGCAGGGCCACAGTGACTCTTAGTATTTAACTGGGTGGTCTGCCGAGTCGTCTGGGGAGCTGAGGCCTAAGGGGCAGAGACTTAACCCCAATCATAAGGCAAATCCAGGGCAATATCCATCTCCTGACCAAGAGTAGCCTTTTCAATGGTTGGCAACCAACTAGGGTTCAAATCCCAATTCCATCACTCAGCTGTGTGACCTTGGACAGCTGGTGTCCCCTCTCTGGGCCTGCACCCCCAGGCCCTGTCCCACTGCTGTGGAGAGTCCTGCGCTGGTCGCTGAGCAGTGCTCAGGAAAGGCCCCATGTGCTGCCCCCAGGGCTCCCGCCCGCCCCTGCCCTTTCAGAAGGCTGAGGCAAGGGGCCAAACATCCAGGGGTCTCCTGTCCCCCCAGCACTCAAAATGATGCCACGGGGTCGCTCCTCCAATCACACAGGCTGCCCTGCCCAGGTCCTCCAGGGCAGGCAGGCAGGCCACAGCCCCCTCCCAGGGCCCCAGCGGGGACATGCCAAGGACAGGAACCTGGAGCCCCAGGAGTACGGGCTGGGACAAAGGGCTGACTGTCTAAGAGGCTGGGAAGGACTGCAACCCACACACACATCCACAAAGGCGCAGAGTGTGGCACAAATACCCAGAACAGTCTGGGGAGTGCAGACAGGCAAATGCACACAGATCACAACCGTGGACACACACGGAGCCACACAAACCCCAAGGATACCCTGGCACACACCAGCGCGCACTCAGGTGCGCGGCTTCCCGACTGCGGCCGGCACTCCCCCCGCCCACGCGCCGACAGACACCCGGGACGCACTGACCTGGGGGTGGGGTGCGGGTGGGCGCTGGGGCCGGTGCGTGCCCTGCCCGTCCTCGCCAGCCACCCTCCCGCAAAGGCGACTATTTATAAGGCTGTCAGCAGCGCGCGGCATGCCGGGAGCCAGCTCCGTGATGGCAGGAGGGGGAGGAGGGAGCGAGAGCGGACCGGGAAGGGAGGGGGCTGGACCGGAGCAGATCCCTGATGGAAACCAGAGCAAGACTGGAGCCCCCATCGTGCACCGCCAGGAGTCGAGCCTACACTTCACCGATTTCCATTCCTGTGGCACCTCCACTGTGCCCACATCACTCCAGGGCAATAGGACTCGGCTTCCTATGTGACAGCTAGGGAAACTGAGGCCCACAAAAGGGTGGCTCTTTATATAAAACCCCACAGCAAATTGGTGGCAGGGAGAGGCCAGACCAGGGAGGGAGAGGACTGAAGCATGGATTCTGGGGGCTTTGCTGGCCAAACCAGTCCCTCAGCCCCTCCTCTGTCCTGTCCAGAGGCCCTTGGGCCAAGATCCACGCGGAATTCCTCCTCCCTTTTCAGAAGGGGATCCAAGAACTCCTCTGGGACTGCAACTCCCCAGGACCCCAAAGACCATCCACAAAACCCTCTCCCAGCTGGTGGTTGTGCAGATTATAAAAAACCAGCCCTGCCTAGCAGGTGTGGCTCAGTGGTTGAGCATCAGCCCATGCACCAAGAGGTTGCCGGTTCGATTCCCAGTCAGGGCACATGCCCAGGTTGTGGGCCAAATCCCCAGTGTGGGGTGTGCAGGAGACGGCCAATCAATGTTCTCTCTCATTGATGTTTCTATCTCTCTCTCCCTCTCCCTTCCTTTCTCTCTAAAATCAATCAATCAATCAATAATAATGTAGCAGAGACCAGGACTATGCAGCTTCAGAACTCATGCACTTGACCACTGGACCACACAACCTTGAAGGTGGCAGCCCCAGACCGTGGGGTGGGTTGAATTTAGAATTTGTCTTGTAGGCACTAGAGAGCCATAGAAAGTGTTTGAGCAAGAGAGAGAGACTACCCAGAGAGTGAGACCACTTTAGGTGGGTAGTTTTTTGGATTTTTTTCTTTATTGAATTTTTTTTTTTTTTTTTTTTTTTTTAGAGAGAGAAGCAGGAAGAGGGAGAGAGAAATAGAAACATCGGTGAGAGAGAACATCAATTGGACACCTACTGCATGCCCCCCACTGGGGATTTAGCCCACAACCTGGGCATGTGCCCTTTCCAGGAATCGAACCTGCGACCTCCTGGTGCACGAGTCGATGCTCAACCACTGGGCCACGCCAGCCAGGCTAGATGGGTAATTTCTTAGCAACGATAGCAGCCTAGACCAGGAGGCCTGAATCTAGTCCCAGCTCTGCCACCTGTGACATCAGACAAGGTCCTTACTCCTTGGGACCATATAGTTTCCCCATCTGTGGGAGAGGCAAATGCTGGGTCAGAGGGTCTGCCTTAGAAGTTGTTTGAAAGGCCTTCTCCAAAGCTGTAGGTAGTTGTGCGCATTGGCATGACCTTTGGGAACAGCAAATTGATGAAGTCAATCAAAATTTCAAATGTGCCCTTCCCCTCTGGGAATCCCACATGTGGGCACCAAATGTGTACAGAATGGTTCTCTAGTGCCAATGGACTGACTGATGGGCGGGACGGTGGTGCAGCCAGGCAGGTGGGGAGTGGAGGCTGGCCCAGAGTGGACGTGAGAAAGGAAGCCAGGGGTCTGTGGGACTGGCGTGGGGGGGGGGGGGCACAAGAGAAATAGACAAGAAGCCCAGCTGCACCTGTCTTATCCCACCTTCAACAATTCTGAACATGTAGGGACATGTGTATAACATCTATTCCTCAATGTTTTTTCTTTGCATTTTAACATCTCTGAAACTGTTGTCTTATAATCAAATCAACGGCATCTTAAAGGTGATGCAAAGAAACAGAACCAAGAGGGCGGGTCTGTGCACATAATCCCCCAGGGGGAGGTGGGACTTTTGCTTCTTTCTTAAAGGCTTCCCTAGACTTTCCCCCCCCCCTAATACTATAAGCATCTATTACTTGATAATTGAAACAGTTTTAACATGGATGTACCTTGAGGACATTACGCTAAATAAATAAGCCAGTCACAAAAAGACAAATACTGTATGATTCCACTGTCATGAAGTATCTAAAGTAGCCAAATCCATAGAAATAGAAAGTAGAATGATGGGTACGAGGGGCCGGGGCGAGGGGCAGGGGAAACAGGAGTGCTTGTTTAATGGATACAGAGTTTCAAAACTGCAAGATGAAAAACTTCTGGGGATGGGCATCATAACAATGGACATATACTTACCACCACTGAACTGTACACTGAAAAATGACTAACTGGTAAATCTTATATGTTTTTTGCCATAATAAATAAATTTAAAAATTGTGAAAACGGGGGGGGGGGGACCCTATTTTAAGTACTTGTTTTAATTATTTCATTTGCATATGACTTATGGATTTTTCACCAATCCTGGAATATTAAGGTTTCGGGATATTTTTTCTCAGCTATAATCTAAAGAAAAAGAAAAAGATGAGAGAGAGGAAGAGAGGCTGAGGAGGAGGAAGGAGGGAAGGAAGAAAAGAAAGAAAGGAGGGAGGGAGGGAAGGAAAGAGAGGGAAATAAAAAGCATTGCATGGAGGGAAACGGTGGAAGGGTATGCCCTAGACTGTTAACAGGGAATAGGGCTGGGTGATGCCCTCACTTTTTATATCATTTGTATGGCTAAGTTATAACATGAAACAATACCTAAAACCAGAACCATATAAAATAAAACCAATTTTTAAAAACACTTTACATATTCTGGTTAAAGAAAGAATCCCCAGGCTTGAGAGGAGCCAGCCCCGGGGAGCGAGTCCGGGGAGCTGCACTCCGAGGCTCAGCACACGGTGAGGGCTGCCCAGGTGCGCCTGGCTGGACAGCCGAGCATCCGCAGGAAGCAGCTGGCCTGGCTGCTCCGGGAAGCACATGCTGGTTCGAGCTGGTGGGAGAAGCCGCCACCCCCAAGGACCCAAGGACGGGTGGGAGCCACGGGGGTGAGGGGGCTTTGAAGCCTAAATGAGGAGGTGGGTCTGTCTTGGCCACAGCGGGGCCAGGCGAAGGTTTCAGAGCACAAAAGGACCATGAAGAGGTGGGCTCAGGTAGGTAACTTTGACAATGAGTATACTAGTTGCTGTGGGTGCCCCGTGAGGGCGTGAGTTTGTGGGTTTGAGGTCCAGGCCCCAGGCCTCCCGCCCTGTGTCCTGATGCTAATCCGAACTTTCCCAGGGTCCATCCCTAGCGATCCACCTCCTCCTGACATGCTCCTGGGTCTCCCTCCACGCCCACCAGTGCACAGGCAGATTCCCAGAAGCCTTTGCACAGGCTAGAGTGCGCCATATTCCACATCTCCATCCCCATGCAGGGCCTTAGGCTCCCCACGTAATGACTTTGCAAGGAGTCCCTGTCCCTCCAACATGCCCACCACCACCAGCACTACTGCCTGGTGACGTCCCAGCCTCCTCCTACCTGTCTGGCTGCTATCCAAGCAAGGATGGCCTCTCCAAGCAAGAGGGGTCACACCTTGCCCCCCTCGGGCTGGCACTCATGGCCTTTGGCCATCTGGTCCCAAGTGGCCTCATCTCCCACCGCCCTGCCTACTGAGAGGGGCTGCGGTTCGCACCGGTGGCCACTGTTCAGGTCATTCTCCCCACCTGACATTCCCTCCCGCTTCAACTGTACCCAACACAGCGGCGTGGCCAACGCTACTTCCTAGCGTGTCTACGTGAACTGAGAGACAAACGCAGCGCGCCCTTCTCTCCTCCCAGCTCCCTGGCCCCCCATCCTGGCTGGCCCAGCGCCCAGAGAGCTCTTTCCAGGTCCCCAGCAGGCCGCCTGCCTTTGTCTCACACAGTCACCCTTTGTTAGGCCTCCGTTCCCAAGGGCATCTTATCTGCCTAAACAGGTTGTAATCACCCAGAGTCACGGACCCCCTTCCTCCTGCCAACCTGGAGTTGTAAACAAGGCCTTTCGCTCAACAACGCTCCCCTGCCCTCCCAGGGCTGCAGCCCCGCCTGACTCCTGCCTGCAGCCCGCAGGACATTTCAGCCCCCTGCCCTTAGCAGCCTCGGGCCCTAGAGCCAAGCTCTGGCCTTGCCCCCTGCCCTCTCCCCATGAATCCTGTCCTGGACTCCTCTGCCCTGCCCCCTCAGCTGCTTTCTAGGACGGGATGTGTTCTCTCCCACCACCCACCACCCCCGCTGGAAGGTCTTGCCCTAACCTCTGCAGGATTCTTCCTCATCTTCCAGGCCTCAGAAGAATGTCACCTCCTCAAAAGCCCCTCAGAGAGTCTGCATTATTGTCTTCATAGCCCTTACTTCCTGTGGTGGCCTGGCTAGGATAGAGCCTATCCCGGGGCTCCACCTCTCCCCAGAACCTGAGCTCCTTGAGAGCAGTATGTGGTCCTGGAACCGGGGCTCTGAGGGGAAGAGACTTGCCCAAGGTCACAGCAGCAGGGGGAGGCAGGACTGGAAAAGCCAGACGGGCTTGGCTTGGAGGCCCCACAGCTCCCCACCCCAGAGCTGCCAGCTCGCCGCCCAGGCTACAAAACGCGTGACTCACTGGCCAGCTGAAAAAGCTGCCCTGCTCACGTGTGAGCTCCCGACCTGGCAGGTGTGGACACGGCCCCGAGCAGGCCCAAGCCCTGGGCCGGCCAGCCTGCTGCATCGGGACACACAGAGCTGGAGCTGGAGCTTAGGTACATTTATTCCTGTACAAATCATTACAAAACCAAATCTGGGGGAGTCGCCAGCCCCCACCCCCACCCAATGTGCAATGGCTTGCCGCTGGCCTCCTCCTCCTCTACCTGGCCCCCCCATTCTGCCGACTCCTCCAGGAAGCTCTCTAGTCTTCCCTTCCAGGTTCCAGAAGAGCAGGGGGCAACCTCACCCCACTGAGGCCCAGCAATAAAGTGCCTGATACAGAGTGAGGGGGGACAGAACCCAGCCCCTAGAGCTTTCCCAGGCCCACCTGGAGGGAGACTCTTAGACGACTCCAGTAGCTGCAGACGAAGGGGCTGCTTGAAACCTCAGTTTGGCTGGGGTACCCCCTTTCTCAGCCCCAAGGGCTCCTCAAACAGGCGGAAGGCCTCACCTGGGAGAGTTTGCGCAAAATACCCTCATGTCCAGGAAGGGGTGGGAAAGGGAACCCCAGACCCCTAGGGAGCTGAGAGCCCGAGCAAGGAGTAGTGGCTGGAGGATCCAGTCTTATGGGGGACAGACCCAAGGCAGTCAGTGGGGGAGGCGGGAGGGAGTCACAGACTCCACATTAGAACCTGACATGGGCAGAAGGGTGCCAGAGAGGGGGACAAGGGATTTGTCCAAGGCCACTCAGGGCAGAGCCGAGACCCAGACACCGGCCTCCCACCTCTGGGACTCTCCAACCCCACCAATGCCCCAGCCTGCCCTCCAGACAGTTCCCACCCCCCATGCAACCTTTCTATCTGGCTCTGGGGAGTGAGGGGGCAACACAAAGTTCCCAGGTCCTTGGGACAGCACCCCATTGTCCCAGCCAATAGGAAACGATTTGGGGACCGTCCTGGGGCTCTGAACCAAGGCTTCATGGGGAAGGACAGGTCCTTGGCCTCCCATTACTCAGAAATACCCTGATTGACTATGCTCAGACCCTGACTGGACAAGAAATCCCCGGACACCCCTGATTAACCACATCGAAGCCCAAATCCCTGATTGGCCAAGAGATACCCCCGGGACCTGATTGGCTGGAAGATACACCCTCTTCAAGACCCTAACTGGCCAGAAGACACTCCAGCCAGCCTTGAAGGGCCAGGACATGGCCCCTAGTCGAGTGGCTGGCCGAGAGCCACCTCTCCTGCGTCCCTGGTGAGGGCCCCACAGGCAGGGCAGCCTAGGTCCAGGAGGGGTGGGAGAAGGTGATCCCGTATAGCTGGGCCCAGGATGAGAAGACCCTCTTCTCGGTGATGAAGCGGTGGTGGTTGCCCTTGCGGCTGTGCTCATTCTGGACGTAGGTGACACACTCGTCCGGCCCCTTGGGCTCATAGTAGTGGTAGGGCATGCGCTGCAGGCGGGACCGCTGGCTGGGCAGAGCAGATGGGGGCCGTGAGGGCAGGGTGGGCACTGGCGGGGGCCTTGCTCTTTCAAGCCCCTGACCTGCTATAGGACCTTAGTGGGGGAAATCCCTGCCCCTCCCTGGGCCTCAGTTTCCCCATCTATAAAATGGGTGTAGGGTGGACTAGGTTTGTGACCGCCAAACTTTTCTTTTTAATGCAGTGGACTTTTTCCTGTCCCCAAGAGTGTGGCAGAGTAGGGTAGAGGTAGGGACTGTGGGCTCTGGAGCCTGGCCCCCTCCCTTTACTGTTTGTGGGACCTTAGGCCACTCACAACTTCCTCAGTTTTCCTCATCTATGAAATGGGGAGAATAACATACCTGTCCCTTAGAATCACTGTAAGGAGTGAATGAGATAATAAATACAATCATGCTCGGGACAGGATCAACATTCAGTAAAGAACAGCTGTCACCTCTTGGGCTTTTCATTCAGTAACAATAACAATAGTTATTATTAATATATAAACTCTGGACTCTAGCCGAGCTCGGGGTAGAGGCCCCTGAGGCAACTCCAAGGAGCCTAGATCTCTGCAGGGCAGTCTGAATACCACCAACTAGAATCCCTTACAGGTGACCCCGCCAAGGTTTCCAGGCCCCCAGCTCCTCCACCCCATGGCCAGTGGCCGGGCATTGCTCTGGAGGGGCTCACCTGCAGTAGTCAGGAGGGACCATGCCGTAGACGTGCACGTGGTCACACAACTCCACCGCGATCACCATGGTGAACCAGCCAGTGCTCAACCAGGAATGGGACTTTTCCCTGGGGGCAGAGAGGGAGCATAATGAGGGGGCACGCAGGCAGGGGTGGGGCAGGCAGGGAAGAACAGTCAACCCCCCAGTTTCACAGAACTCCTCCCACCCACTCACTGGGCCCTCCCCCTACTTCAGCCACCCCCGCCAGCCTACGGGGGGAGCACCGGTTTGTTGGCAGAGGGCTTGTCTGGGTGGAGGTAAGGGGTGTGGAGAGGGCTCCTTTGAGGTGAAGAGGAACAGGGCATGCTGGGAATTAACGCCCAAGGAGACTGGTCACACTTGGGCTGGGAGTGATCATACCTGACCACAGAGCATGCTAGAAGCAGCTGTGCCCATGCTAGGAGCAAACTCCTACGGTGACTAATTAGAGATGGTCATGCTGGGAGTGACAAGTTCAGAGCAAGGCACCGAAGCAGCAACCGAGAGCCTAGAGCTGTGCTGTCCATTCGCATGGCCACCTGTGGGCACATGTGAGCCCTTGACACATGCCTGAGGTATGCCATCAGTGTCAACTACACGCTGGATATTACAGAGTGTGAGAAAAGAATGTGGGACGTGCCCTGGCTGGCTTGGCTCAGCGGTTGGAGTATCGGGCCTGCGGACCAGAGTCCCGGGTTCGGTTCCCGCTAGGGGCACGTACCAAAAAAATCAAATCAAATCAAAGAATGTAGGACGTGTCACTGATCACTTTTTATATTGATTACATGTTCAACTGAAAATATTTTGGATCTATTTGGTTTAAGGTGGTTCTTGGAGAAGTTTAAAAAAGAGTAAACCTCTCACAAGTCTGACAAAAAAAAAAAAGAGAGAAAAGATACAATTACTAATATCAAAAATAAAAGAGAGGCCCAGCTAGTGTGGCTCAGTGGATTGAGTGTGGTCCCATGGACTGAGAGATCCCGGTTCAATTCCCAGACAGGGCACATGCCCAGGTTTCGGGCTCGATCCCCAGTGGGGGGCGTGCAGGAGGCAGCTGATCAATGTTTCTCTCTCACATTGATGTTTCTATCTCTCTCTCCCTTACTCTCTCTCTAAAAAAAAAAAATCAATAAAAAAATATTTAAATAAGAAGTAAATTAATAAAAGAGAGAATATCACTATAGACCCTGTAAACTTTAAAAGAATAAGAAAATCACAAGAAAAAACCCATACATGACAATTTAGATGGAAGAGGTTAATTTTTAAAAAAATATTTTTTCTTTATTGATTTGAGAGAGAGGAAAGGAGAGAGAGAGAAAGAAATATCGATGAGAGAGAACATCAATTGGCTGCTTCCTGCATGCCCCCCAATGAGGATTAGGCCCATGCACCATGACCAGGAATCGAACCAGTGACCCCTTCGTGCATGGGTTGATGCTCAACCACTGAGCCACACCAGCCGGGCTAGAGAATTCTCTCTTTAAAAAATAATCTAAATGATGTAATATTGAAGGTTCTATCATCCTTTTTCGAACACAGAGACCCTTTGCACACCCTATTCACATTGGTCCAACCTATACTTATCAAACACCTGTTCAGCCCTGGCCGGTTTGGCTCGGGGGTTAGAGTGTCAGCCAGGACCAATGAGTCGCAAGTTTGATTCCGGTCAAGGGCACGTACCTTGGCTGCGGTTCGTCCTCGGCCCTGGTCAGGGTCATGCGGGAGGCAACCTGTCGATGTGTCCCTCTCACATTGATGTTTCTCTCTCTCTCTCCCTCTCTCTCCCTCCCTCCCACTCTATCTGAAGTTAAATGGAAAAATGTCCTTGGGTGAGGACTGAAAAAAAAATCTCAACAAAGTATTAGCAAATCATATCAAGCACTATATAAAAATAATAATACACCACAACCAACTGGAGTTTATTCCAGAAATGCAAGGCTAACATAACATTTAGAATTCAATCAGCCTGGCAGTGTGGCTGAGTGGACTGGGTGTTGTCCCATGGACTGGGAGATCCTGGATCAACTTCCAGTCAGGGCACACACCAGGCTCGATCCCCAGTAGGGGGCATACAGGAGGCAGCCAATTATGTTTCTCACTCACATCGATATTTCTCTTTCTCTCCCTTCCTTTCTCCCTAAAAAAAAAAAATCAATAAAACATATTAAAAAATGAACCAATCAATATCCACCACATTAATAGTCTTAAAAAAAAACTAATCTTTTAAGAAAAGTCTTAATTGATGCAGAAAAACACTAAATAAAATGGAGTATCCAGCACTCTTAGGAAACTAATAAGTGAAGGGCATTTCCTCAACCTGATACAGGGCAGCTACAAAAACCTATAGCTAACCTCATATTCGATGATGAGAGACTGAATGCTTCCCCCCCGAGACTGGGACTAAGGCAAGGATGTCTACTCTTGGCACTTCAGTACAATTCAATGTTGTACTGAAAGTTCCTAGCCAGGCCCAGCTGGTGTGGCTCAGTGGTTGAGCGTCGACCCGTGCACCAAGAGGTAGGTGGTTTGATTCCCCGTCAGGGCACATGCCCAGGTTGTGGGCCAAATCCCCAGTGGGGGGGCGGCCAATTGATGTTTCTATCTCTTCCTCCCTCTCTCTCTAAAATTAATAAAGAATAAAATTAAAAGAAAAAAAAGTTCTGAGCCAGTACAATAAGGCCAGAAAAAGAAATGAGGCATACAGATTAGAAAGGAAGAAATAAAACTGTCCTTATCTGTATGTCCCTACATGAGCATGTGCACAAAAAAATCTACAAAATTCTCCTAGAACCAGTAAGAAAATTTAGCAGGATTACAGGATATAAGGTCACCACACAAAAATCACATTTCTAAATACTAGCAATGAATAATTAGGAACCAAAACATTTTTCAATACCATTTACATTAGTTCCAAAACTTTAAATATTTAGGTATAAATCAAATAAAATATGTACAGGCTCTATATATTGGACATATTTAGTTAAATAAGATATATTAAAAATAATTTCATCTGTCTCTTTTAACTTTTTTAATGTGGCTACTATAAAAAAATGAAATTATGTGGCTTGCATTCTCATTTCTACTGGGTGGCTCCGGCCTAGATTTTCTAGAGCAGGGCTGGAAATGATGTGTACTTAGAATAGAGCATGCTGGGAGCAACGGCATGCTTAAAGCAGGAAGTGCCAGGAATAGTCACCACTTGCCAGGAGACAGGCTACAGGGCGTCTCCTAGAAAGATGCTAGAAATGACCGTGCGACCTGAGAACAGAACATGCTGCTGGGAGGAAGCCCTCCTGGGAAGATGGGGCCACGCAGAGCCCTTTGGAAATGACTCAGGCTGAAAGCTGGACATGAAGGGAGCTCCCCCAGGAAACCTGACCAGAAGTTGGCAAGAAGTGACCACACCCCGAGCACAGTGCTTGCCGGGAGCAACAGGCCTCTGCGCGAGCATGCTGAAGGGCAGAGGGCTGGCCAGGGTGCAGGCAGGAGGCTGGTACCTGTCCTTGCCTGTCTCACCCCGGAAGAGGTCGTCAAATTGGCGCATGCGGCCGGGAGAGACGGCATAGGCCTCCATGTTGGGGAACACCAGGCCTGCCCTTTGGATGACGCGCACAAGGCTGCCCTGGGGCTTCTGCATCTTGTTTGGGGGGCCCCAGAAGATGAACACGGTTTCTGGGGTCCGGTTGACGAATTCCTGGGGCTTCTTCAGCACACGGAATACGCTGGAATGGGCCACCACGCGGAAGGTGGTCTTGTTGCCCACATCCGCTGCGTAGCCCGTGGTGGGTGCGTCGTTCATGCGGATCGTGCACTCCGCCCGCTCAATCTCAGGACCCAGCTTGGTGCCCAGCAGGTGACTGGAGCTGGTGACAATCACACACTGGTGGCACCGGGTGGGCAGTGTCTGGGGGGAGCAAGGAAAGTCGGCTCTGTCACAACCACTCTGAGCCAGGCCCTGTGCTCTGTATGTTCAGGCCTCCAGGAAGCCAAAACAATCAGCCCATTTTAAAGACAGAGAAACCAAAGTCCATTCGGTCAGCACTCAACAAATATCCAGAGCAAGCTAGCTAATGGTCAAGTACTCAGGACAGAGCAACCAGCAAAAGAGACCCCACTCCTGCCTTCAAGAACTCACAATAGGAGACACAGACAGTGAACAAGTAAAAGATAAAATAAAGGACCTCGCCCTGGCCAGTTGCTCAGTGGTTAGAGTGTCGGCCCGTGGAACAACGAGTCGTGGGTTTGATTCTGGTCAAGGGCACGCAGCTCGGTTGCAGTTCAAACTCGGCCCTGGTCGAGTCATGAGGGAGGCAGCCAATCGAGGTAGCTCTCTCACATGGATGTTTTGCTCTGTCTTTCTCTCTCTCCCTCCCTCCCACTCTACCTGATGATAAAGAGAAAAATATCCTCGGGTGAGGAATACAAAATAAATAAATAATGGATCTGGCTGGTTTGGCTCAGCGGATAGAGCATCGGCCCATTGACCAAAGGGTCAAGAGTTAGATTCCCAGTCAAGGGCGTGTACCTGGGTTGCAGGTTTGATCCCTGGCCCCAGTCAGGGTCGTGAGGGAGGCAGCCAAATGATGTGTCTCTCTCACACTGATGTTTCTCTCTCTCTCCCACTCCCTCCCTTCCACTCTATCTAAAAATCAATGGAAAAATATCCTCAGGTGAGGGTTAACAACAATAACAAAAGGATAAAATAATGCCAGGTGGTAAGTGAAATGTTCTAGGAATAAAATCAAGTAGGAGCAGGGGATCAAGAGTGAGAGGAGCAGGGGCTGTTTTTGTTGTCAAGTAACCCAGTGTCCTCCCACACCCTGTGTGGACTCCCCAGCAGAGACAGAGACCAGTGAAAATCAGACACCTTTCCAAGAGATTCTGACCGATGAGCTAAAAGGGTTTTAGTGCTAGGGGTGGAATCTTGCAGAGAACTGAGACCCAGAGAGGGTCAGAGCACTTGTCCAAGGTCGCACAGCAAAAAGAAGGCTAAGGGCATTGGAAGCCAGGGCCTTGACTCCCAGGGTCCACCCTTTCCTTTAGTAGGGGTGGAGAGAAAGGGAGGAGGGAGCAGTGATGGTAGGTACTGGGGAGGATCATCCACCAGGCAACTCCTAGGGAGTTCCCCAAAGTAGATGCCCTACCTTGTTGCCAAGAATGGGGACATAGCCATCGGCGATGTTCCACTTCTTCAGGTTGATAGGCCGGCGACTGCGGCCCCGCAGGGAGCCATAATGGAAGACCTCATTGGCACTGTTGGAACTGTAGAGGATGAGGATGGTGATGAGAGCAAAGAGGATCACGAACACTGCTGATCGCTGCTCCTGAGAGGGGAGAGGACTGGTGAGGGCCCAGTGACCACAGAGGCTTGGCGCACTGCCTCGTTACCACCTACAACACCCAGCGAACTCCTGCTCCTCATTCCAAACCAGTTCAGACACTACCTCCTCCAGCCCCCGGGCACTAATCACACTATCGCGAGTTCTGCAGCTGGGACTGGGCCGGTCTCGCTCCCCACTGTTCCCAGCTCTCAGGGTGGGGACTGGAACACAGGTTCTCAGGAGGGTCTGCTGGATTGGATTTTATGTGGATGTCAGAAGGCTCTCTCCTGCAACTGGAAGGATGCTTGGAGACAGGTGGGATAGTCAAATGAGAGGATCCAGGTCTTCCCCAAACAGCAACTCTCCATAAATGCTCATTATTCATTTAAGCCTGGAGGGGCCGGACCTGTTCCGGAATTGAGCTGCATGGGTAGAGAGTACACCAGCACTTGGATGATGGGGCAGGAAAGTGATATCCAAATTTCCCACTAGGATGTAGCCTAGGGTCTGCAAGGCTACCTGAGACCTGGGAGTCCTGGCTCCTGTGCTGAGCCCACTGCACTGGTTATCCGTGTATTGTGTCTCAGCTCCAAGTTCACCCTTTTTGCCAGCTCTGTGAAAATGGATCTGGGCTCTTGTTTTTCCTTGCCAGCTAAATGCATATTAAGACTTGTCAGTAGAGGGCGCTGAAGAGACGCTGCATTAAGAAGCATTTCCGCCCTGGCTGGTTTGGTTCAGCGGTTAGAGCTTAGAGCGTGGGCCTGCGGTCCAGAGAGACAGGGTTTGGTTCCCGCTAAGGGCACGTACCTCGGTTGCAGTTTGTCCCCAGCCCTGGTTGGGTCGTGCGGGTGGCAGCCACTCGATGTGTCCCTTTCACGTCGATGTTTCTCTCTTTCTCTCTCCCTCCTACTCTATCTGAACAAAAAATGGAAAAATGTCCTCAGATGAGGATAAAAAAAAAAAGGCATTTACTTCCTCATTCTGGTGGCCATGGTTTCTTCAACACCTGCTCATCTCTAGTGCCCAGTGGCCAGCAGCCAGCTGCACTCAGCAGATTCCTCCAGTACCCACCCTCGGGCAATTGCCTCCGATTCTGCTGTGATCACAACTTCTCCGGAGTTGAGCTCAACCAGTACTCAACCACCTGCAACATCCAAAACCCATCAGCTTCCCTCCCCGGAGCTGTTTTGTATGGAGGTTGGGTACCTCCTGGGAGTTATTTCCTGTGAACAGCCTTCCCTGTAGCTTGGAAGGTGGATCTGTGACAATGTCTACCAGTATAGTGCCACACTGAGTTCTCTGCAATCCAGTGGACCATAGCTGTGCCCTCCCCAGAAGGGCCTGGATCTCTGCCCTGGGGCTGGTGGAGGCTCTTTATACCTGCTCTTCCTGTATTTCTTAGAGTTCCAATCCCTCATTACTCCAATGCCTGATTATAGTTAATAACTCTTTTTTATTTATTTATTTATTTATTTATTTATTTATTTATTTATTTTATTTTTATCCCCACCCGAGGACACTTTTTCATTCTTTGTTCAGATAGAGCAGGAGGTAGAGAGAGAGAAACATCGATCTGAAAGGGACACATCGAGTGGCTGCCACCTGCACAACCAACCAGGGCCGGGGACAGATTGCAACCGAGTACATGCCCTTAGCGGGAACCGAACCCGGGTCTCTCTGGACCGCAGGCCGACGCTCTAACCGCTGAGCCAAACCGGCCAGGGCTATAGTTAATAACTCTTTACATTAAACTGTCCCTGTTCAAATTACTATGTGGTTTCTCTCTGCTGACTGGACCCAGACTGATACACCCACTTCACCCTGCTCCCAATCCTCAGGCTCTGCCAAGGCTGTGCTGCAGTGGATTCTAGGAAGGGAGTATGCAGGACCAGGATATAGTAGGTGATCAGGAAAGCACGAATAACTGGATGATGGGGAATCCTGACACTCTCCGGAGTGATGCTCACAACATTCCATCATCTTTGATCTCTGCTCCCTCTTCCAGACTCCTACTCACCTCTACCTCCCCACCCCCACCCCCTGAACAGCATTCCAAGTCACCTTCTTGGACCTGGGCCCAGAGAGGCAGGAGCTTGCCCAAAGCCACACAGATCAGGGGTACAGCAGGGCTCAAACCAGGGCCTCCCAGGCATCAGCCACTTCTTGTCAAGAGAGACGTGTGGTGGCTTGGGTCTGCGACAGGTCTGCAGAAGCCCATCTCACTGAGGGAAGTAAGAGGCTGAGATGGGGACAAGAAATGGAGGACTTACTTTGTTGCTACTCATCTCTCTCCGGCGTCTGCTGAGGGGCAGGGGCCAGCGTCCTGCAGGTGGCCCAGGGGGCAGGGATGTGGGCTCACACCTGCAAGTCACAGAAACAGTTATGGCTTGGGTGTCCTCCCATAGGTCCAGCTGGTCAAAGACTACACTTTCCCTTCCCTTGCCAGTTCTCCTACCTACCCATGACTTCAGGGCTCAGGGCTGTATACATTTTGCAGATGGAGACACTAGGGCCCAAATAGGGCAGAAAACTGCTTGAGGCCACAGGACATGTGGTGGCTGAACCCTGCCTCTCTCCCTGCCCCTTACTCTCTTTCACTCTGCTCCCTCAGCAGTGGCCTCCCCAGACCCTGGCTTTCCTAAGCAGCTGGCTCCCATGCTGGGGGCCTGCTTCCCACCCAGCAGGAACCCCATTTGCACCCCTACTTAAAACCCTGCTTCAGGTCCCTGTGGCCTTAGAATAAAACAACATTCTTTGTAGGTCCCCAAACTCCTCTGCACCTGCACCCTTTCAGATCTTGCATAACTATCTGCAACACCCTCCTGCACCCTGCTCCCGCCCACTCATGCTCCAAGCCTGCGGTGGGCACGGTACTTCCCCTACATTCATCTCCCCTGTAGGCTGAGAGTTCTCACCGGTCCTCACATTCTCTGCTGGGCCTCCAGAGCCCCGAAGATGGGTGCAGGAGGATGGCTGAATGATTTCATGAATTAGAGTAAGAGCTTAGGGGTTAAGGACACAGACTCATCTGTCAAATGGCCATAATCACAGCCCCACCCCCAGAGGGTGTTTTGGGTTCTCAGGGGACGACGCAGCCTTGGGCGGCCCTTCCTTCCTGCCCCAGCCCCAGTGGCTTCCGCTGTGAGGAGGCAGCCCAGTCTGCTCCTCGCTCCCCAAACCATTCTCCTCGTAGGACCCAGCTCCTCTCCAGATCTCAATTTCCCCACCTGTCAAAAGGAAACAAGTACTTGTGTGCAGCCGCCTCCAGCAGATTCCAGCCCAGAGGGCACTAAGGTTGGGATAGTGTAAATGGAGAAGCTGGGGCCCGAGGCTCCCCAGCTCTGTCCTCTTCTCCTGGGGCCTCCGGGCTCCCACCACCATCTCCGCCCACTGACCTAGGTACTGTTTACTCCTACACCGCCCCCAGGAATAACCCCCACACGCGGCTCCTGATTGGTTATGTCCTGACTCTGTCCATTACCCAACCCGGCCCTCTCTCCGCCCCGCCCACTTCACCCCAGCCGGCCTCCCGGCAGGCTGCCGGGTTTCAGATTTCCCCGTGGCCCGCCAACCCAGCCACTCGGAAGGCCCCGGGACTCTCACCGGGTACAGATTAGGAAACCAAGGCTCATCAGAAGAGGAGAGTGCCCTGTCTTTGGACTCAGAGCCTATCAGAGTGAAAGACAGAAGTCCAGAATTCCAGAGTCGCCCCCATCAGTCCTGACGCCTCTGGCATTCCAGGCCCTTACTGGTCCAGCTGAGCCAGAAGCCTCTCTGAGCTGAGCCTCCTCCCTCACTACTCTTTCCTTCAGATGCCCCTTACTCCACACACTTCCAGAGCACTCCAGTTCCCAGGCGCACCCCCTCACTTTCCCACCTTTGCCTGAGCAGTGCCCTCAGCCAGGACCACGGTCCCCCTGGTCAGCCCCGTCACAATCCTGCTCTTGAGAAGGCCATGGTCAATACAGCATCTCAGGTTCAAGTGCGAATCCCGGTTCCACCACTTACTGGCTGAGGGACCTTGGGCAAGCCATGTACCTCTCTGAGCCTCAGTTTCCTCATCTGTGAAATGGGAATAATAAGAGTAGGTAACTCAAGGGGATATTGGAAGGACTCAAGCCCGTGTGGCAAGGGAAGCATAGACTTTGCAGGTGCTAGGTCAGTGCCAGCAGCTGTTCGTTTTGCGGTTATAGTTCAAGGCCTTGTCGCACGGAGTTTGCCAGCAAAACACTCCCTTCTCGGACAGCGATTTCACTCTTATATTAGGAATGTGTGCAGGAGCCAGCTAAGCATCACCCATTTACTCAGTTTCCTGGCAACACTGCATGGCAGGGGTTCTTGCTCCCCAATTCAGATGAGGAGACTGGGGTTCAGAGAGGCAAAGTGCCTTGTACAGCTGTCCAGAGCCTGCTGGGGAGCCTTGTTTCCAAGGAGAAGCCCAGGCCTGAGGGTGACGGCATCTCCCTCAAGAATACCCCAGGGCTGGAATGGGCCAGAGTGCCCCGAGTGTGTGCCCAGCCCCTGCCTGGAACCGGAGTAGGCCTGCTGGGGAAGGACTTGCTCAGGCTGGAAAGACAGCAAGCAGCCCGGAGCACTGGGCCCGGAGCTCCACTCACACCCAAAGCGGGCCCTGCAGGAGGTCTGAGTACGCCCGGTAAGAGTGGGGATCACACCCTGCCCTCTGTTCCCCAGCTTTGCCTCGCGCAGCCCGGGGAATCTTCCCGAAGGGTCGGGTCGTCCCCACGAGTCGCGTGGGAGGCGAGTTCCAGGGAGGAGGGGGAGGGGCACCTAATTCCCAGAGAGGGGGCGCCGAGCCCGTGGGTCCACCTCAGGTGGGGGTCGACTCGCCCTCCGCACCCCCTTTGCGCTGACCCCAACTCCCGCGCACGGGGGGCCCAGAGCCTAGCCCCAGCTGGGAAGAAAAGGGAGGAGGCAGGATAGCGGCCGGGTCCCCGAGCTCCAATGGGGTAGACAGAGGCAGGAGGCCCCGCGAAGCCCGCGACGGCCCTTGGGCACGAGAATCGGGGTCTCTGGGCGTGGCTGCCTAGAGAATGGGTCGAGGGCACCTCCCGGGGCCCCCGCAACATCACTCCTCATCCCCAGAGGCTCCTGACATGCCCCCGGGGTGCGGGCCTCGCCGCCTCCGCTGCCCGCCCCCGCGCGGCGCCCGCTCACCTCCCCGGGGGAGCGCCCGGCCCCCCGCGGCCCCCGAGCCCCCTCACATGGCGCCGGGGGCTGAGAGCCGGGGTCCGCGCTCCTCCGGCCGCCCAGGCCCCGCCGCAGCCCCGGCCCGCCGGGTCCTAGCGCCGCCGCACACCGATCCGGCCCAGGCCTGGGAGGCGGGCGGAGCCTCGAGGGGCCGCGGCTGGCTCCGCCCCTGAGCGGCGCGGGGCGGAGGGTGAGGGCCGGGGACCTTGGGCTGGAGCCATGGGGGCGCCTCGCTTACTCTTCTGGGCCGCCGTAGTGGCAATAAAAATAGCCTTCCAGAGCCCTTTAGTGTGGGTCGTGCCCACTTCCACCTCGATTTCTTGTTACCAAGACCGAAATGGGGAAACTGAGCCCCAGAGCGCACTGCACTTGGAATCAGTTGAATTTCTCCCTGGGCTCCCTTACCCAGGACCTCCAGAACCCTGCACCCGGTAATCACCCTGAGTGAACTCAGGGTCCACCTAGGGGTCAAGTCCAGCTTTGCCTTCTCCAGCTGAGTGGCCATTACTTCCCCTTCCCCGGCCTGCCTCTGGAAAATAGGGAGAAGAACCTCAGAGGGTGTTGTCAAGGTTAAACATGCTATTGACTTCTTATGACTTGGAGGGTATTCATTACATCACTTTATGTGATAGTGAAAAATAACCAGTAGCCATGATAGAGGCCTGGTGCAATAAAGGCACAACCCTGCTAAAATGAACGACGTATATCAATATATACCGACAGAAGAGTTGGCCAGGATAAATACAAGATGTTTAAGTGAAGAAAGCACATTAAGGAACTCTATTTCGCTAATCCCTTTAGAAAACAAAGGTATAAATATGTGCATTCCTCCTGGAGGTATGTACCCTGGAGAAATTCTTGCACGTGTACACAACAAAGTTCATAGCAACCTTGCTTGAAATAATACTACACTGGAAATAGCCCACATATCTATTAACAGGAGAATGGATTTTTTTTACATGATGGTATGTTCACAGTGTGGAATATTAAATGGCAGGGGAAGCCCAGCTGGTGTGGCTCAGTGGATTGAGCATCTTTCCCAGGGACTGAGAGGTCCTGGTTGGATTCCTGGTCAGGGCACATGCCGGGGTTGCAGGCTCCGTCCCCAATAGGGGGCGTGTAGGAAGCGGCCAATCCATGTTTGCATCTCTCTCTTCCTCTCCCTTCCTCTCTCTCTAAAATCAATTAAAAAAATATTTAAAAATTTTTTCATTATAAAAAAAGAGGTTCATTATATTGTATCTTATAACTCACAGGTATAGTAAATGATGTCATTTGTGTGTACCACAGTATTTAAAAAGAAAGGTAGGAAAAAAGGAAAGAGAAATGAAAATAAGAAAATACCTTTTGCCTATCATAGTGATTAAAGTGTTAATAGTGGTGCCCTGGCCAATTTGGCTCAGCGGTTAGAGTGTCAGCCCCCAGACAGGAGAGTCCCAGGTTCAGTTCCGCTAAGGGCATGTACTTTAGTTGCAATTTGTCTCCGGGCCCCCGGCCCCGGTTGGGGTCACGTAGGTGGCAACCACTCGATGTGTCTCTCTCACGTCAATGTTTCTTTCTCTCTTTCCCTTCCTTTCTCCCTCCTGCTCTATCTGAAGATAAATGCAAAAAAAAAAAAGTCCTTGGATGAGGATAAAAAAATAAAGTGTTAATAGTGGTTATTTCTGGAATGATGAGGTTATGTGGTGTTTTTTCCTTCTCTTTTGGCTTAACTGTATTTTCCAAAATTTTAAAGGTAATGGTTATACAATGTCTGCATTTAAAAACTTTTTTTTTCCCAATTCTCACCAGAGGACATTCTATTTATCTTTAGAAAGAGTGGGAGGGAAGGAGAGAGAGGGAGAGAGAGAGAGAGAGAGAGAGAGAGAGAGAGAGAAACATGACATGAGAGACATCAATGTGAGAGAGACACATCTACTGGTTGCCTCCAACATAACCCCGACCAGGACCAGGGACACACCAAAACCGAGGCATGTGCCCTTGACCGGAATCGAACACGCAACTCATTGGTCCTCGGGCCAATGCTCTAACTGCTGAGCCAAAGCGGCCAGGGCTAAAAACTTATTTTTAATTAAAAAATAAACTGCATGTATAGCATGATTCCTTTTTTTAAAGAAATACAACTCTGAATGCACATATGTTTGTAAATGCACACAGGTGTCTGGAAGAATCTACAAGGGACTACTTACTGGCAGTACTTTCCCCTGGGGAGTGGACGTGGGGTGGGACGGGTGAGTGCAACCTTCACTTTTGTTTTATAGACTTCCAGCTTGTTTGCAAAGGGGTAATTTGATAAGTTAATACTTTTGTTTTTAATTAAAAACAAAAGGGTGTGGGGCAATGTCCACTTCCAGGCAGTGGAGGACAGGGGGGAGGGCCAAGGGTGGATTCAAGGCTCCCCGCCCCTCTGGTGTCCACCTCCATCTGCTTCCTGAGCCTCAGCCCATCCCCTCCTGGGCCCTCCTTGGCTGCCTGCCAGGGGCATGGAAAACCACAGAGAGGGACCAGGGCAGTCAGGCTCAGAAAAGGGAAGCCTCTTGCCAGAGGTCGCGGGGCAGGCTGGAGGCTGCATTAGGGAGGGGCATCCTGTCCCCAGCCCTTCTTTCTGACCCAACCCAGTGACCTCTGAAGATGAGGGTGCAGTAGCCCAGCTCCAACCAAATGGGGACCTGGAGCTCCCCCCTCAGGCCTGCCATGTCTCCTGGGCCCAGGCTTACTCTAAGAGGCTCTGCGGTCGGTCGGGGCTGGCTTACCTTTCCTGGGCTCTGAGGAATAAAGTGAAGAAATAAAATGGCCCTGGCCGGTTTGGTTCAGCGGTTAGAGTGTCGGCCTGCGGTCCTGAGAGACCCGGGTTCGGTTCCCGCTAAGGGCATGTACCTCGGTTGCAGTTTGTCCCCGGCCCTGGTTGGTCGTGCGGGTGGCAGCCACTCGATGTGTCCCTTTCACGTCGATGTTTCTCTCTCTCTCTCTGTTCCTCTCTCTCCCTCCCACTCTACCTGAACAAAAAATGGAAAAATGTCCTCGGGTGAGGATAAAAAAAAAAAAAAAGAAAAGAAATAAAATGGAGCCACTCTAGTCAGGCTGCTAAATTACTAAAATCAAGTAGGCTGAGGTATGAGGAAGTGATTCTATTCGTTTTTGTTAATCCTCACTAGAGGATATTTGCCCATTGATTTTTAGATAGAGTGGGAGGGAGGGAGAGAGAGAAACATTGATGTGTGAGAAACACATCAGTTGGTTGCCTCCTGCACAACCCCAACCAGAACCGGGGGCAAACCTGCAACCCAGGTACATGCCCTTGACTAGGAATCAAACCCGTGGCCCTTTGGTCCGTAGGCCGACACTCACATGGCTGAACCAAACCAGCCAGGGCTCTATTCTGGTTTTACTGGGAATTTAAACGTTCAATTCCTGCCTCAATGTCTGTATATACTTAACCCTCTGATCACACCCTGAAGGACTAAGGAAAGCATGCTCGCGTATCCAGACCACCGGACAGCAGTCTCCTGAGCACCAGCCACAGAGGGCAACCATCTGGCACCAACCCAGAGGCTCGGAACCCAGGAGTGATTCTTCTCAAGAACGTCCTCTTTACCCTAAGAACCCTCAGCTTTTCTTTTTTCTTTGGAACACTCTGGGTATTTCCTATCTTTCCAGTCGGCAAGTCCTAAGACTCTTGAATAAATTTTTATCATTATTTCTAGCCAAAGCCTCCAAAGTCTTTTTGAGTTCCCCCGACAGCCGGAGAACAATAACAACCACTTCAATACTAATGAGAGTAAGAAAAACAACAGCTCCCCTGTGCTTTTTCCTGTGATAAGCACTTTGCAGACACATCTCACTGAATCCTTAAAATAACCTAGGAGAGGGGTACTGCTGTTACCACTACTCGAGGGAGGAGTGAGGCTCAGAGTGGACACAGGTGCAGGAGCTGAATAACCACAAGCTGTTCTGTTCCAAAGCCTCAGGCCTGCCCACACCCAGGCCACGACTTTCCTGCATGGGTGGCCGTGGCCAATCCGTTGCTTACCCCACCCCTGAGCTGCTCCCCCGTGGCCGGGGGAGATGGCCTCTGCTTCAGTCCTTCCTGCCCAGGGTGGGGATCCTGGGTGTGACCTCCTTCTTGCCCCTTGGCAATCTTTGCAGTGTTAGGAGTTCCCCTTCCACGGGGCCCTGGAAAGAGTCCCCAGAGACCCCCTCATTTGCCACCCTCGCTCCCAATTTAGAGACGGAAACCGGGATCCATAGAGGGGCAAGACTTGCCCAAAACTCCTCTCTGGGTCCCAGGCGGAGCCAGGGTGGGAGCCAGGCCTGTGGACTCCAGCCTCTCGCCCTCTGGGCAGAGAAGGATCCCGAGAGATGGGCCGGGAAGAGGCGGGTGAGGGCCGAGGCGGGTGAGGGCCAGCACAGTGGCTGCTCCCCACACGTGTTCCCCACACCTGGGCAGTGGGTCTGGAACCAGAAAGTACCTGGTTCTCAGGGCAGAGGTGGCAGTGGTCAGCCTGGCTGAGGCGGCCTGGACATGGATGCTGACCAGTACCTGCAAGAACCAACATTCTGCCCTGGCCGGTTTGGCTCAGCGGTTAGAGCGTCGGCCTGCGGTCTGGAGAGACCCGGGTTCCCTTCCCGCTAAGGGCATGTACCTCGGTTGCAGTTTGTCCCCGGCCCTGGTTGGGTTGTGTGGGTGGCAGCCACTCGATGTGTTTTTTTCACGCCGATGTTTCTCTTTCTCTCTCTTTCTCCTTCCTGTTCTATCTGAATAAAAAATAGAAAAATGTCCTCAGGTGAGGCTAAAAAAAAAAAAAAGAACCAACATTCTTCACTTGGCTAGAGGTTTGGTGTGTTTCTGGTCCCAAGTTCCTTCTGAGGAGAGTGGCCCCTTAAGATACCCCCAGCATGCCCTGGCCGGTTTGGCTCAGCGGTTAGAGCATTGGCCCGAGGACCAATGAGTCTCAGGTTTGATTCCGGTCAAGGGCACGTACCTCGGTTGCGGTTTGTCCCCGGCCCTGGTCTCTATTGCATCGATGTTTCTCTGTCTCTGTCTCTCCCTCCCTCCTACTCTGTCTAATGATAAATAGAAAAATATCCTCAGGTGAGGAATAAAAATAAAAAAGACACCCCCCAGGCTGCGAGGCGCACCTGGCTTCCCCTTGGTCTCAGGAGGAAGTTGGTGGGACCCCAGCTGGCCTGCTGAGGGGACAATGGTGCCAGGATGTGGACAGAGGCTGCACACCAAGGTGCCCCCGCCACACTGCTCAGAGCTGGGAGGAGACTCCTGCCCACTCACCCCGTGGACGCTGCAGGAACTGCGGTGGCAGAGGGGTCCGCGGCAAGTCTTCGGCAGGCTGCAGCCAGTCCCCAGCCCAGCCAGGAGCCAACTGGAGGAAGTAACTGGTGGATGTCTCAGCCCAGAAACACAAATTAATTGGGCCAACCCAGCAGTAAACACCCCACCTGGGGGGCAGGGCCAGAACAGAGGCACTTCTGTCACTGGGCTCAAGGGTGAAGCCAGTATATTCTTGGGGATGGAGTGGGAGGAGGCAACCGCCTGGGAGGGGTGTTCATTCTGAGTCCCATCAGAACCAGTGGACCCTGCGCCATGGAGCCCAAGGTTGAGGCTGTGAGCAGGTGAGCTGATGGGGACAGAGGTCTTCATGCCTCTCTGTCACCACCAAGGACAACGGGGCTGGGTGAGCAAGAGCGACCCCACATTTCAAGTGTCAGCCTTGGGGACAGGCACTTTACACATGCCATCTCTGAAGTCATACAATCTCGTGAGGCAAGGACAACTTCTCTTTACAGGTGAGGAAACTGAGACCCAGAAAGAGGCACCGATCTGCCAGGGTCCCACAGCAGGGCATAGAGCCCAGTGAGGCCAGGTCTGACTCCAGGGGCCTCCCTCTGTGCCCAGCTCCTCCACCAGCCCCCTGCCCGGTTACATCCCACCCTTCTGCCGACACCTGCTCAGACACAACCACTGCCAGGCCAGCAGCTGTGGTTCAGCTGCCAGCCCACTCCCCCATCACAGCCCTGCCCGCTTCCCCGGCAGGGCTCTCCTCCTTCCTCCCACGGTCGCAGGGCCTTCTGGGCCTGCCTGGCACTGGGTAGGGGAGGCAGTGTTGTGGGTCAAATGCCAGGTCTCCAGCCTCTCTTTAGAAGGTCACCCAGATTCCCTAGCACGATCAGCTACATAATTGCGGGGTCCAGTACAAAATAAAAATGTGCGGCTTCTTGTTAAAAAAAAACACACTCATTAGAATTTCACGTCAGTATCAGCTGAACATTAAGCTAAGCGAGCCTAGGGCCCTGGGGCAAATGCACAGGTCGCACACCCATGAAATGGCAGATTCCTGGGGCTGAAGCTGGAACCCCGGGGCTCCCCCCCGCTGAGAGCCTGGGAACCAGGTCCTTCATTAGCCAGTCTCCTGGTCTCCAGATGAAGGAAGGTGGGGGGGAGGAAGGGATGGTGAGGCCCTGTGGGCTCTTTCCAACCTCGGTTCAGGGCCCAGTCAGTCAGGCTCAGATCAGACCTGGGACTCCACCCTGGCTCAGCCTCGTGGCTTTACCTCATCTGTAAAGTGGGCTACCGGGAGCCCCTCCGAGGGCGGCTGCCCGTGCTTGCAAACTTCGCTGGTGGGCCAGCTTTTCCCACTTCCCGGGTGAGGAAACTGAGGCTCAGAGAAGGCAAGCCAAGGCCTGCCCCTCCTCCCGCCTTCCTTTCTCGCAGTGTAACCAGCTCCAGAGTGAACAGGGAATTCAACTGGCAAGGTCCGTGGAATTTGACCCTGGACCAGGGACTTGAGGAGGGGTAGGGGAATTTCCTTCCCACCCTGAGTCCTTTCCTTCCAGGCCCAACTCTCCTCCCACCGCCCACTGGGTGCAGGGCAGGAGTCCTGTGGAAGCCACGGGGCCAGACTCTCGGACCTGGTGGGGAAGAAACATGCAGGCAGACTAAATGGCCAGAAGCCCAGCCGGACAGGTTTGGGGAGGGGGCCCCAGCACTTGGCCTGCCCTCAAATCTTGAGGTTATGGGACTGTGGCAGGACGAGGAGCCCCAGTTCTAACCCCCAGACACATACCCACATAGCACACAGCGTTCCAGAAAACACACGTTTACCCGTACACTCGAGGTGGCCCTGGCAAGTCACAGTTCAAAGGCCCCTTCGCCCAATGAATCCCAAGATCTGGGCTGCCCTGGCCAGGGCAACCAGCCTGGGAAGTGTGGCACCGAAGGTGGGTGGAGGGAGAGTGTAGAGGAAGGACTATTGCTGGTACAAGGTCGAGAGTCACAAAGCTGGTGAGTGGGGACCATTAGCCCTGGGGGCAAAGGCCACTGAACAGACCCCAAGGTGAGATGAACCCCCAAATTAAGATTCAGATTACTCAGGGAGTAGGGGTGGGGAGGGTACAAAGGTCACCATGGTCCCCCTTCTCCCCTTCAAGTCTGGAGGCCCGAGATGGAAGGAAGCAGGCATCCTAGGTCCACCGGCATGTGGCAAAGGCGGGATCCATACGTGAAATGTTTCTAGTGGAGTGTGAACGGCACGAAGGCCTGGCGGAGGCACTGCAGCCGGCCGGGCAGTGGGCTACTGGGTCCTCCAGGATGGGTGGGCAAACACGATGGCCCGCTTCTTGGCCCAGCGGGAGAACACAGCCTTCTCAGTGATGAAGCGGTGGGCACTGTGGGGCGCCCGCTCGTGTGCCAGGTACATCTGACACTCGTCCAGCCGACCCTTCTCAAAGTAGTGGTAAGGCACTGAGGGGTGGCTCTTCTCCCTGCGGGGGGGGGGGGACAGGGACAGGCGTGGGCACCAGAACTCTCCCGCCGGACCCTACACTGACCTCGGCCAACCTCGCCAGGCACTACAGGCCCGTGGAGTCTCATGCCTGGTCCCAGGGGAGGCCAGGGCAGCCTGTGCATCCCAAAGGCCAGGGTTCGAGCCCCAGTTCCACCTCTTGCAAGCTGGTTGACTCTAGGCCAGAGACATACCCCATAAACCTCAACAACGCATCTATAAAATGGGAATGGTGATATCTACCTTCCATGCTGAGTCCATAGGTCAAAAAGATGAAGACTAGACCTGGCCGGTTTGGCTCAGTGGTTAGAGCGTTGGCCGGCAGACCAATGAGTCGCGGGTTCGATTCTGGTCAAGGGCGCGTACCTCAGTTGCAGTTCGTCCCCGGCCCTGGTTGGGGTCGTGCAGGAGGCAACCAGTCGATGTGTCCCTCTCACGTCAATGTTCCTCTCTTTCTCCCTCTCTTCCTCTCTCTCCCTCCCACTCTATCTGAACAAAAATGGAAAAATATCCTCGGGTGAGGAAAAAAAACAAAGATGAAGACTACAAAGTGCCTTGCTGGTGCTGAGCTCATGGTGAGGAACCCCTGTGGCACACACCCATCTAGGTACTGGCACCGTGCGTGTAGGCGGGTCTGGCCAGGTGCCCGAGCGGAGGGTGCACCGGCTCCTGCCACCTCACCCACATGCTCAACTAATAAGATCCTAAGCATGGGACCCTTTCTGAACTTGTCAGTTACAATGATACTGATATATAATAATATCAAAGGTGAAAACTTAGATGTAACATATCACGGGCGTATACTCGGCCCGGTGTTGCAGGAGGTACCTCCGTGGACCATGCTCTCTGTGAACGTTTCCACAGCCTTCTCTCTTCCACGGTAAGGAAGTGGAGGTCCTAGCAGGCGTGACTGGGCCACACCAGCAGGGTGGAGACTGGCATGGAGCCTGCCCCAGAGGCTGAGCTTGAGAGATGTCTGTGCCTCCACCACCCACCTGGAAGCCCACACACCCTGCACCCCACAGCTTCTAGATCCTCCAGCATGAGCCCACAGTGCTCCCGGCCTCCCAGCCCCCTCCTGCCCAGGGCCTGGCTGGCCTGACCTGCAGTAGCTGTCGCTGACCATTCCATAGACCACGATCTCCTCACATAGCTCCAGGGCAAGGATCATGGTGAACCAGCCAGTGCTGAGAAAGGAGCCCGACTGCCGCCTGGCAGGGGGGAAAACACAGTCAGCCTGGCCGCTTCCGCCTCAGTCAGAACAAGGGGCCCTGGCCGGTGTGGCTCAGCGGTTAGAGCGTCGGCCTGCAGACCCAAGAGGCCCGGGTTCGGTTCCCGCCAAGGGCATGTACCTCGGTTGCAGTTTGTCCCCGGCCCTGGTTGGGTTCTGTGGGTGGCAACCACTTGATGTGCCTCTTTCACGTTGATGTTTCTCTCTCCCTCCCTCCCACTTTATCTGAAGATAAATGCAAAAATGTCCTCGGGTGAGGTTTAAACAAAAAAAAGAACAAGGGGCTTATGGAGGCCCTGGCCTCAGCTCTCAAGGCACAGCACTGGTTACCCTTCTAGCCGAAGGCCACTCCCCTTGACCCCTACAGAGGGAGTCCTGGGGGAGGCTGGAGAAGGGGCAGAGCCAGCCCAAAGCCGATGGCGGGCAAGAGGTGGAGCTGGACCCAAACCCAGGTCTGTTCAACTCCTCACCACCCGCACAGGACTTGAGCAAACCTTCGGACAATGGTGTGGGAACCTGGCCACATCCTCTCTGGATCTAAGGGACCAAGTTTGGGGACAAAGTGGGAAGCATCATAGCCGTGGCTGAAAGCGGGAAAGGGGGTTGTCTGGAGTCAAAACGTCAATTTGAAACCTGCACCTGCTCTGTGGTACCAGATTTGCTCATGAACCTCTCTGAGCCTCAGTGACCCACCTGGGAAATGGGGATAATTACAGGTGGTGGTGGGGGGGGCACTGTCAGCCCAGCAGCACCCCCATGCCTCCACACCTAACTCAGAACAAGGGGTTGTGTGGCCACTGCAGGCCTCCACTCTCTCAAGACACCAGCACTGGTTACTCCCCAGTCTGAGGGCCACTCACCTCCACCTCTACAGAGGCACTGCGAGGTGGTTCATTCACCCAAATCGAGCTCTTCCCAGGCCCTCTGCTGGCCAGGAGCCTGCCACACCCAGTGCTAACATTCTCCAAGGAGGAGGCAGCTGGGAGAGAACAGCGGAGAAGACAAGGAAACACAGGAGTAGAGGTGACCATCAGATGGGTGGTCAGGGAGGGCTTCTCTGAGGAGGTCACATCCCAACCAGGCCTGAATGGCAACAAGGTCAGTCATGGGAGATGTGGGGAAAGAAAGTCTAGGCAGAGGGAAAGGCGTGTGCAGAGGCATGCGGGTGACAACCAGTGTGGATGTGTGAGGAAGCCCAGAGGGCCAGTATGCTGGAGCAGGGCAGGCAGGGGCCAAGTCATACAAGGCTTGTAAGCCAGGGGAGGAGAGGGGGTGGGAGTCTGGACTTTATTCTCCATGTGAGTCAGAGTTGCTGTAAGCTTGAGGGCAGGTGGCTGATGGGATGAATTCACTGGGTGGCTGGAGCTCAGGCTGCAGGAGTCAGCAGGGACACCTGCGAGGAGGGTCCCGCAAGGGCAGGGAGGATGGTGGCCCCTGTGGGAGATTCAACACCCCATTGTTATGTGGCAGCTGATGGGATGAAAGGAGTTGGGTGGAAAACTGGAGGCTGGCAGATAGATCTCCCGAGCTGGAGGGGAGGGGAGGAGCAGATGTGAGGAGGAGGAGGCCAGGCTAAAAGGAGATCTTAGATGCAGTGTTGAACCCAGGGCCTCGTGCATGGAGAGGGCTGCTGCTGGTGCTGTCACTGTTCCTTTTATTTTCCAGAAGGGGCCCTGGCCAGTTTGGTCAGTGGTTAGAGCATCGGCCTGTGGTCCAGAGAGACCCAGGTTCGGTTCCCGCTGAGGGCGCGTACCTCGGTTGCAGTTTGTCCCCAGCCCTGGTTGGTCGTGTGGGTGGCAACCACTCGATGTGTCCCTTTCATGTCAACATTTCTCTCTCTCTTTCTCCCTCCCACTCTATCTGAACAAAAAAAATGGAAAAATGTCGAGTGAGGATTAAAAAAAAAAAAGGAAAAATGTCCTTGGGTGAGGACTGAAAAAAAAAAAGAATTATTTTCCAGAAGGGACTTCCGAGACCAGCTCAGAGCTCCCTGACACTGCCCCACGCTGGTCAGTGCTCACAAGGCCGAATGCTCCTCAATCTATGTGATATTCTGATGAATGACAATCTCTCTGACCCTTGCTCCCCATGAGAGGGCAAGACCACATGTGCCTCCATCGCTGCTAACTGCCAGCCACCAGGCAGGCAGGCCCAGCTCACCGGTTCTTGCCCGTCTCGTCCTGGAAGACCTGGTCGCAGTAGGCCATCATGCGCTCAGTGAAGGTGTACACCTGCAGGCCCGGGTACATCTGGGTGAGCTGCAGCAGCGTGCGGTAGGTGCGGCCGCCCAGCGCCCGGTCCATGCTCTTCCCCTGGCCCCACACCACGTAGAGCGTGTCACGGGCCTGCTGGAAATAGTGCGAGTAGTTGTGCAGCAGCAGCGGCACAGTCGTGTGTGAGATCACCCGCAGGGTGCTGCGCTGGCCCACGTCCGCCTCGAAGCCCACAGTGGGCGCCTGGTTCATGCGCAGCACGCACTCAGCATCGTCGATCTGGGTGCCCAAGCCTGAGCCCAGCATCTGGCCGGAGCTGGACACCACAGCACAGCTTCGGCAAGGCCCTCGGACCAGGGGCTGCAGGGGGAGAAAGAAAAACAAAGGTGTGGGCACATAACTTCTGCCCCCTTCCCCTCCCCCTAGAAATACCCACTGACCTCACTCGACCCCTGTATCAACTCAAAGTACTTTATCAACCCATTTTCCAGATGAGGAAACTGAGGCTAGGCGCATGAAGTGACTTTCCCAAGGTCAAACCAACAGCATGAGCTGAGGTTCTACGTTCAGAGCCCCATGCTTCCTCACTAGCAGTATTCACGGCCCTTGTCCCTACTGCTGAGGCCCTAACCAGGCCTCCATCGTGAATTCATTATTAGGGTTACATGAGCAAATATTTATAAGGCACTTAGAGCTGTGCCTGGACCAGGCTGGGTGCCAAACTCAACTCTTCAAAATCACTTAGTTACTCCTACCTCTGCCTGAGCCTCACTCGTGTGTCCAGTTCAGGAAGTGACAGCAGAGTCTTTAGTGCCCACAGCAATGTTGGGAACTTCTGGTTCTGAGCCTGAATCCTGGCTCTGCCCCTTCCCGGCCTTAGGCAAGTCGCTCTGCCTTGCTGAATTTCAATTCCCTTATCTATAAAATGGGGATATAAATAGCATCTACTTGACTAGGTTTTGGGGATTCAATTAAAAATGCTTGGAGAGTTATGGCACAGAGCTAGGACACAGTGAGGGACCAACCCCTCATCTCACTCCCCCAAGACGCAGAAGTTGAGCCAACCAGCCTGCAAATATTCACTGGGGATCAGGGGGCAAGTCTCTCCTGAAAGGACCTGGTCCCAATCCCAGGCCTCCGTGTCCTCCTGGGGGAAGGCAGGCTGGTTTATGAAGGCCTGTAGAGGCTACAGAACATTAATTCCAGTTAATGAAAGACACACTGTCATATCCCACTCAGGGCCATTTCATATCTAACATGTTGATTTAAGAACTCGAAGGACCGCCCTGGCCAGTGTGGCTCAGTTGGCTGGATCGTTGTCTTGTGCCTCAAGAACTCGAAGGACTATTTTCCAAACCCCAGCAATAAAGAACAGGATTTCCTTCCTCTGCCCTCAGTCTGAGCCTGTCCTGACTACTGGGGTCCGTTCAGATCCAAGGTCACAACCAGCCCCAGGAGGTGTTCTGCTTGTCCCGCACAAAGTCTTTACAATATTTAATTAATCCCTAATTTATAAAACCAGCCTCCTGACATTCCAAACTTGGACTTTCTGCTTCTCTTAACAAACTCAGAGGATCTGGCCACCCTGAGCCCACATATCCATGAGCTCTGAGTGTCTGAAATGAATACTGGTCACCACCATGGAAGATGGGACAGGGTCCACCCAGCCTATCCCAGCATTTGTCCCACCTGCCCAACCTGTGGGGCACTTGAGTTTGTACCCCCCCACCGTTGTTTTTGCATCTTGATCAAATATTTATACAGCACCTGTTCTGAACACTGTCCCTGAGTCACCCACTTGAGCCTTCACAGCAACCCTACAGAGAGGAGGCGACTGAGACTCAGGAATGAAGACCCGAAACAGGTCCCCTCCAAGCCAGGGTCTCTGAGCACACCTCTCTCTGACCAACTCAGAGAGCCCCCCAGCTCAGAATGGGGAGCTTCCTGCGCTGGGGGTCAATGTATGGGGCCTCTGAGAAACCTACCCCGTGGGGCCACTGAAATCAGGGTGAGGGCTGTAAAATGCCCTGAACCTCGCTGGGCAGAGCTGGCGTGGGGAAGTGCTGTTCGGGCAGGGGCACAGCTACCTCCTCACCCTGAGCTCCTGCATCCCTGTCTCTCCATGAGAGGGAGAGCCCTGGGTTGACATGACTTTTATCTGTCACCTCTGTGCCCAGCAGTAACCAGTACAAGGCAAGACACACTCAAGGCACCAAATACCCACTTGCTGAATGAATGGACTGTGTCGACAGTTAAATCTAAACATGCACACAACGCACCTATCACCAGAATGTCATGATGTCTGTCTCCCCACTGGAATGGGAGCTCCAGGTGGCCAGCCACCCCCTAGCACTCAGCTGACAGCAGCCAGGTAATCTTTGTTGAATTAAAAAAAAAAAAATTTTCCTCTTAGAACGTAGGGCTCAGAGAGGTGAAGTGACTGTTCCACATCACAGCTGGTGAGCAGCGCTCAGCCCGGGTCCAGGCTGACCTGGTATGAGGCCAGTTCTCACTACCCCCCAGACAGTGGGGGTGCACCCCGGCATCCTTGGCCTGCCCCGGCATGCTGCCTGGCTAACTCACCTTCCCATCTGGCACTCTGCTATATCCACTGAAATGCAGGGTCCCTGGCACGGTGGGCCTGGAGCTGGTGGAGAGGTGGGAGCCCAGGCAGGAGGCCAGGCAGAAGGGCAGGCAGGCCCAGCAGCACAGCAGGACATAGGCAGCAGAGAAGCCCATGGAACACAGGACGATGAGCAGGAGCCGACCCTGGGGAGACAGCAGTCATGAGGTAGGGGTCCCTGGGGCTCCTAGAAGCATCTACACAGAGTCTGTACCCCAGCCTCATGGGTCCAAACTCCAGCTCAGTAGCTCCTAGAACATTAGTAGAATCTAAGGTCTCCACTAACCAGGCCTCCCTCTGGGCTGCCAGGCTCAGGGTAGAAGAGGCTCTGGAGAGAAGCCCTATGTTCTAGATAAAACCAATCTGAGGTGAAGTGTGCAACTCAAAGCCATACAGCAAGACAACAGCAGAGTGAGACCTCAGATCAAGGCATGAAAAGCCCATGCTCTTAACCACAAGCCTAGATGCACTGTGTAGCCTTGGCTATGACTCTCCACCTCTCTGGGCCTCTTTCCTCCTCTACAAAATCAGGGCTGTAACTGAAAGGGTTAGTAATGTTTTAAAGGGTAAAAGTAAAAATTTGCAAAAGGTGGAAACTGTGAAAATTGTGTTGCTTGCATGACCTTTGCTCAGCCTTCTGTTGAGTACGGATAAGGATTATCTGGATTGTCCGCAAGGCCGTGAATCACCCAGCAGATGCAGGACAAGATAGCAGACCAGCCCTACTGCAAGGTGGACAGTGGGCCAGATAAAGTACATCAGCAGGAACTGCCGGAAGCTAAAAGTAGGCTATATGACCGACACCCCAACCCTAATTCGAGGCTGAACCCTTCTCGGTTCAGCCCACCTGCACGCAGGTGCATACAATAAAGCCATTTTGCTCTACACTGGCCTTGTGTCGTGGATGTGATCTCCTGCGGGCTCAGACATTTTAGCAACATCCACAGTGTGAACTTATAGTGGCGAAAGTGCTCTGTATACTGTAAAGTGCTGTACACATGAGGACGGGAAAGTGCCCATCAGCAGGGCAACCAGCCCCCTTCAGACCCTGGACTGAGGCTGCCAGTACGACCATCCCCCATGCCCTCCCCCAGTTGACTCAGTAGCAGTCCACCAAGCTGATGACTATGATCTGGGTCAGCAGTCTAAGTGACTAAGGAGGTTAAGAAGGGGATATGAGGGAAGTGTCATTCAAGAAATGGGTGCCCTGGCCGGGTAGCTCAGTTGGTTAGTGTCATCCCAATACGCCAAGATTTGGGTTCAATCCCCAGTCAGGGCACATATAAGAATCAACCAATAAATACATACAACCAATAAATACATACAACCAATAAATACATAAATCCACAAATCAATGTTTTTCTCTGTCTCTCTTTCCCTTCCTTGCTCTCTTTGAAAATCGAGAAAGAAAGGGAGGGAGGGAGGGAGGGAGGGAAAGAGAGAAATAAGAAAGAAAGAAAGAAAGAAAGAAAGAAAGAAAGAAAGAGAGAGAGAGAGAGAGAGAGAAAGGAGGGAAGGCAGGAGGGAGGGAAGGAAGAAATATTGAAAACTGCTGTCCAGGGGCTCTGCCTCCACACACCATGTACCAAAAGCCATTGGAACCAAGAGCTGCTGTCAACCAAGCCTTCAAGGGGGTCCCCTGGTTTGGTGGGGAGTCACGACCCAGGGCTGCCATCATGTGCTGGGCTACCCTGGTCACCACCTGTGCCTCTCTGGGCTCTAATTTCCTCCAAACCTGCCAAGGCACGGGTCCCTCAGCTACCCATCAGAAACCACCTAGCAGCTGACCGGTGCTCTCTGAAAACCAGAAGTGGAAAAGCAGCCACCACCATCGCCCCCACAGGAATATCCCAGTGAGGCACAAACTTTTCTGCCCATAAGCCATATCAGCTTCTAAAAATAAATCTCTGAAAAAATAAATAAATAAAATAAATCTCCCTGTGGCCAGCTGGGGTTGGGGGTGGAGAATGTTCAGCCCCTGAGGACTCAGGCTCTGCTTGGCATCTGATGCCCTGTGCACAAGGGACCCAGAGATCTCAATTCAGGCAGTGGTGGTTGACCCGCCCCCCAACACCCAGGACTCTCTCCCACAACCAGGGGCTCCTGAATCAAGTCAAGAGCAGCTAAACTGAACTTTCACACCATAGCCCACTCCCAGGCAGGGGCCTCACCTGGGTGACTCCACGATGCTCCCAGGAAGCAATACTGTTATTCCCATTGTACAGGGGAGAGGGGCAAGGCATTAACACCAGAGAGGGAACACCAACTGTCTGGGGCCACACAGCCCACCAGATCAGAGCTGGACCTTGAGGCCAGTCTGCCCCTCTCCTCAGCTCAGGAACAGTGGGGTCAGAAGTGACCACAGTCAGTTCTGGGGTGCAAGAGGCTACTGAGGCTGCTATGCCGGAAGCCACATCCAAGTCCCCTGTGAGCTTTCCTTTATCCCACTTACCCGAGCCTTCATGCTGTGGCTGCCGCTCAGCAACAGGGGGGCTGCTGTCTCCAGGGCTGGGAAGGGGTGGGAGCCAGGCACCTGTCAAGACCCAGAAACTCAGAGCTGAGTCCCAGGCCTCAGCGGAAATTGCCCAGGGAAACTGAGGCAGGGGAGGGTACAGGCTGAGGTCAAGGCAAATGGCTTCTGAAAATCAAAGTCCCCAAACAGCAGGCAGCGCTGTCCCCGTGTCCTTAAAGAGCTGGAATCGGTGACCCTTGGGAACCCTTCCACCACCCCAAATCCCACTGTGCATATGAGGAAGGAGAAGCAGAGAGGGTGAACCATGGGCTCAAGGTCACCCATCGAATCTGGGGCAGCTCCGGGTCCCACCCACCCTCCTACCTAACTACCCGCGTGGAGAGGCCTGGGGTTAGACCGGAGGAGGATTTCCGTCGTCTACCCCGTTTCACCGCCCCCTCCCCCAGCCGAGAGCTAACCGGGCGGGCAGGTTGGGACTCGCCGGCTGCTCTCGATCCGCTGCTCGGAGCTCCATGGCCCGCGGGCCCGGGGAGCGGGGCTGGAAACCGGAGCCCCGGGGCACAGGCGGTGCCGTAGCCGCGGCTTCTGGAGGCTGGAAGGCGAATGTGCGTGCGGGCGGGGGGAGCGGCGGGGGGGGAGCGGCCAGGGGGTGTCTACGAATTCCCGGAGGAGACTGGCGCGGGGGCGGGGCCTGAGAGCCGGGGACGGAGCCTACAAGCGCGGCCTGCGCGCCGGGAGGGTCTTGCGCGGCCCGGGAGGGTCTTGCGCGGTCCTCCGCCAGGCCGCCGGCATGAGGGCGGGGCCTGCGGGCGGGGCCTGCGGGCGGGGCGGGGCCTGTGGGAGGGGGCGGGCCCCAGTTCCTCAATGTGCACTCTGAGCTCAGCATCCTCCCCCAGCTTTTCTGTCGCCCACATTTGTCTAAACTCTTGCCCAGGCCCTCAGAGGAAAGACCTCAGGGTGTTCAGCCGGGGCTGCCTGGCCGTCCGGACTTGAGTTTCTCCATTTCTGAAACTGCGGGGTCGGTATGTGCTGGCATGTTCATAAACCCATAATTGATGATTGGTGAATTATTGTGCTGACTTGTTTATAGCTCTGTAATTGATGATTGGGAAAGTCACCGTGTACCCTGTAGCTGAACCTGTTTTGTAAAGACCCCCTGAACCAGGAAATTGTTGGGAGCTGGCTACGTGTCTGACAGAGTCCGCAAGGCCTGGAGGTCTTGAGTTAGGGACTCGACCTCCCCCACAATCTCAAGGAATTGGGCTTGCATTGTGTTTGCAGCTCAGGGCTAAGTGTGACCCCAATGTACCTTGAAATGCCTGGGTGTGCCTGGGTGTTTCTGGGTATTCTTGTTATCTGCAAGGCAAACTAATTCTTTTTTTTTTTTTTTTTTGATATGTGCCCCTAGCGGGAACCAAACCCGGGACTCTCTGGTCCGCAAGCTGACGCTCCAACCGCTGAGCCAAATTGGCCAGGGCAAGGCAAACTAATTCTATACGGCATTGTTGTAGCCCTAGGCATTATATCAAGAAGATCCCCTCCCCCCCCAAAAAATTGTCCCAGTAGAAAATGTCTACTGTTTCAGCTGTAGCTTATTTTCCCTGGCCGGTTTGGCTCAGCAGTTGGAGCGTGGGCCTGCGGACCAGAGAGTCCTGGGTTTGGTTCCTGTTATGGGCACATACCAAAAAAAAAAGATCCTATTTTCTGTAAGGTATAATAGGCATGTAATAAAGCATATCAGGGCTGATTCCAAAGACTCTGTCACAGGGGTGTTCGGAATCAGACGCCAGCCGGCTAATAAACAGCTCTTATTTGGACTTCAATTCTCTAGTGGTCTTTCTTTGACTCTGTCGCACCACAACATTTGGAGACTCCAGGGCTGATCTCTGAGAACTCGGGATCAGTCGCCGGCGGGCTTTGCTCTCTACTTGGCTCTGGTGGTCTCTCGGTTCTCTAACGCCACAACAGGTAGCAAAATTAAACAGGGGCTTCAGGTCAGGCAGCCCTGAGTTTTAAGTTGGTAGGGTTGTCAGTAAAATACAGGACACCCAGTTTCTTTGGAGTTTCCGATAAACAGTGAATAATTAAAATCTGAAACTCCAATGGAAATGGGCCTCCTACATTTTCTGTGGCAACTCTGCTTGCACTGTCTGTGCTGGTGTGACTTTCACCGGAGCCTCAGTTCTCCTGTGTGAAGTGTGAGTAATAGCACCTCCTTCCCTCCTAGTGACATAGTGCAGGGGCAGCTGTGGCAGGCAGGATTCAAACCCTGAGCAGTCTCACTCCAGAGCCAGGGCTCTGACCACCTACCTTCACTTCCCAAAGGCTCCCTTCCCAAGGTATCCTCCAAATTCAAGACAACTCAGTCTAGGGCCCCTGCAGATGCTGAAACGTGTCCCATTTGAAGGCTCAGATGGGGTCCCTTGAGGATTTTAAACTCAAGGGCCTTCAGGGGTCAGAAAGGGTTGAAGGCACCTTGGCCATAGTGTCTCAGTGGTTAGAGCCTTAGCCTGCGAATGGAAAGGTCGCAGGTTTGATTCCTGGTCAAGAGCACATACCTGGGTTGCAGGTTCGAACCTGTGCCCTGACCGATGAGGGGAGAGAGGAGGCAACCAATCAATCTGTCTCTCTTGAGTTGATGTTTCTCCCTCCTCTCTCCCCTTCCCCTCTCCCTCCTTCCATTCTCTCCAAAAGTCAATGGAAAAAATATCCTTGGGTGAAGATTAAAAAATAATAATAAGCCCTGGCCGGTTTGGCTCAGCGGTTAGAGCATCAGCCTGGGGTCTGGAGAGAGCCGGGTTCGGTTCCTGCTAAGGGCACGTACCTCGGTTGCAGTTTGTCCCTGGCCCTGGTTGGGTCGTGCGGGTGGCAACCACTCGATGTGTCCCTTTCACGTTGATGTTTCTCTCTTTCTCTCTCTCTCCCTTCCACTCTATCTGAACAAAATATCAAAAGATGTCCTTGGATGAGGATTAAATAAATAAATAATAATAAAGAACAATAGGGAGGGGTGTGCATGTGGTGAAGTGGAGAACATACTTTCTTTTTTTTTTTTTTTAATCCTCACCCGAGGACATTTTCCCTTTTTTTTTTTTTGTTCAGGTAGAGTGGGAGGGAGAGAGAGGAACAGAGAGAGAGAGAGAAACATCGATGTGAAAGGAACACATCGAGTGGCTGCCACCCGCACGACCGACCAGGGCCAGGGACAAACTGCAACCCAGGTAGCCAAACCGGCCAGGGCGGAGAACATACTTTCTATTTAAAGAGTATTTGTTTTGCCCTGGCCGGTTTGGCTCAGCGGTTAGAGCGCCGGCCTGCGGTCCGGAGAGACCCGGGTTCGGTTCCCGCTAAGGGCACGTACCTCGGTTGCAGTTTGTCCGGACCGCAGGCCGACGCTCTAACCGCTGAGCCAAACCGGCCAGGGCGGAGAACATACTTTCTATTTAAAGAGTATTTGTTTTGTTTTTTAAGTGTTAACAGTATTACAGATGTCTCCTAATTTTTTTTTTTTTTTTTTTTTTTTTAACACATAATACCTCATAGGCCAGAAAGCTCATCTTACCATCCCTACCACACCCACCACCCTCTGCAGGGCCCCAGCCTGGGAACCAACATGTGCTCCTGCTCTGGCCTCATTTCAAAATTCAGGTTCCTGTTTCTCAGAGACTGATGTGGGCACAACCTCAGGGTATTCATGTTGGGTATCTACACTCAGCTCAGTAACTTTTCAAGGCTCCCCTGCTCCGGGTGCAGAGCCAAGGCCCCCAGTCTGGTGCTCTAGGCCTCCGTGTCTCTCCCCATCCGGCTGAAACGGCCCTGTCCCCTGTCCTTTGAGCACAAGCCCCCCTTATCTCCCTCTACCCCGCCCTAGGCACACCCAACGGTAGTGGTCCAGGTTCGGTCTCTCTTTGTGGCCCCTCATTCACACAACGCAAAGCACACTGTGGGTCCCCAAAGCCAGAGCCCTTCAGCCTCCCCCAGGTCCTCATCTGTCAAGTTTGTTTTCATAGACCCAACCACTAGGGACAATGTTGAGAAGTTCCCTATGGATTCATTCATCACCCACAATGGCTGGTGAAGTGATGACTCCTCCCCCAGCGAGGCAACTCTCCCTCTGTGTGCTAGGGCCACACAGAGACAAGGATGCCCACATGACCTGGGCTCCCAAAGCAGATGAGGGTCATATATCTACAGACGGACACCAGGAAGTCCCCCAGTTTCAGAGGAAGCTCTTTAATTTGGTTTGACAAAAGCCACTCTCCTTCCCCTGACCAAGGCCCTGCACAGTTTGAACTGCCTCACACTTAATCACTGTCCACCCCCCTTGGCCATCCTTCCAAGCCCCAGTCACATTGAGCTCATTTTTACCTCGGGGACTTTGCATTTACTATACCGTCTACCTGGACTGCTCTATTCATGTGGCCAGCTCCTTGTCATTCAGTTCAAATGTCACCTCCTTGACAACCACTCTATCCAACACTGTATCCCCATTCCTCCTGTCCCACCTTGATTTATCTTTTTCAAATACTTATCACACTCTGAAATTATCCTGTGTATTAACTGGTTTTCTTACTTACGGTCTGCCCACCTCTAAGCTCTGTGTGGGCAGTCAGGCCAATCACGTCCTCGGGGCCTTTCTAGCACCTGCACAATACCCAGCACACGCAGTGTCAGTTGAATGAGCAACTTAGGAGAGCCAAGAGTCTGGGCCATGTGAGATCTTGGACAAGTCATTTCCCTGTCCAGCCTCAGCCCATTGCCAGAGACCCAAAGAGAGTGAGGTTCTAAGCCATCCTTATCTAGGAGCACAGCATTCTGGGGCTCTGACTCAGCTCTGTGGATCCAGACTCCAGGAAAATGTGGGGCCAAACCCCAGTTTCCTGCTGTGCTGCTTGGTCTACCACCACGGAGCTCCCTCAACCTACCCATCTCCCAGGCAGACGATGAGCTCAACTTCCTGCTGAGTCAGAACAAGAGATTTATCCATGGCTGTGTTAGTTCAGAGAGGTTGTCACCCAACATCACCCAGGGAGCTAGGATGATGTCAATCACATATCTATATCTAGATCTGTATCTGTATCTATATTTGTACCTCCAGGAATCCACACTCCAGTCCTGCAACATGAGCTTTTCCTTTCCTCTTCCTTTCCCATCAGCCATTTCCTTCCTTTTCTCTGAAGACCAATGGAATGGCAGTGTTTGGTGTAGCTGAGTGGCTTTCCCAAGGTCCAGAGTCATCCAGTCCTGGGGGCCAGCTCTTGGCCCACACAGCCCCTAACCCACCACACTGTCCCCACCCACTCTCAACTCCAACCACAGGGAAATGTTCCTATTTCAAATGATGCCAGGCTCTCTCTCAACCTTTGCTGTGCCCTTAGCCTGGGACCCTCCCAGGGCTGCATCCAACTCTTCTGATCCCAGTTTAGAGGTTAGAAACAACCCCACTCATCAAATAATTAGATGGGGGCCCCTTCCCGAAGCTCCATGGCCCCATGCTCCTTCACAAGGCTTTGCTGTACCAGGTTGCTTTGGTCACCACCCCACCCCAGACGGTGAGTTTCATGAAGGTGGAATGTGTGCATCTTGCTTTTTCCCCAGGTCCCCAAAGTCCAGCAAAGGGCCTGTCACATAGCAGGTGCTCACTAAATATTTAATGAGTTATTGAGGTCCATTATCATCCTTCCATCTTACAGATCAGATTGCTGAGGCACAGAGAGGGTTAGTACCTTGCCCTGGTCACACAGCCAGGCCCCGAGCAGCACTAGAGGAAAGGCCTGCTTGGGCAGGGTCAGATTAGACTGATGTCAGAGGCCAGGCTGGAGTCTCCTGGAGGAGGGAGAAGGAATGATCAGGGGTTATGCAGGCACTTTGATTCCCTGCTCCTGGTGATGTTCTTTTGGCCAGGGCCCTTGGTCTGCCCACCAACCCCTGCCCCCATTTCTCAGATGAGAAAGGTGACTATCAGAGGAGGACAGAGCTTACTCAAGATCAACAGTGGACCCTAACAGTGCTTCCCAGAGCTGCAGGTCCCTCAATACCCCACCTTCTCCTACCTGCATTCTTAGAGAAGCAGGAGTGGGGAGCCACCCCAGGAGGCCCACAGACTCTCCTTGACAGGGTGTAGGGAGGCCTGGGTTCTCGGGCTGGCCTTACCACTTACCCATGCATAAGCCCCTTAAAGTCTTTGGGCCTCAGTTTTCCCATCTGGACGACAAAGGGCCTGGGCTGGAGCCTGCAGCCTCCCCCCTTTCCCAGAGCATGAGGACAGGGCTGTAGGAGCTGGTGACTAAGAATACAGGCTCCTGAGTCCTAAAGGCATAGTCGAGTCCTGGTTCCAGCATTTATTGCTGAGTGATCTTGCTCAGTCCCTTCACCCCATGAGCCTCCATTTCATGGTCTGTAAAAAGAGAATAATAGTATTTTAAAGATTAAATGACTAATGTGGGGAGTCCCCGGTACAACGCCAGCAAGGCACAGCATCGCCATCAAACGAGGCTGTCGTATTAGTTAGGGAATTCTGCCCTCTGGAGGCCAGCTGGAGGAACAGCAGGCGAGGGGAGCCCGACTCGCTGGCCGGACCAGGCTGGAACACGCGTTCCGGGCGTGCGCCCATTGTCCAGATGGGGAGAGCGCGGCCCGCGCGGGTCACTCGGTGTGCGCCTCCACCCACTGGCAGAGGCGACGGGCATAGACAGCCGGGCTGACGGTGGAGAACGTCCGGTTGGGGTAGCGCAGCGTCTTCCACAGATACTCCAGTCGCTTGCGGAGCCCGTAGACCGTGGCGAGGTCCACGAGGCCCAGGAAATAGCGTTGCTCCGGCCCGTCCAAGATGTGAAGGGCGTTGGGGCAGTTGGGCAGCAGCCGAAGGTTCTGAGCTCCCGGCTCATACGGCCTCTGTACCCCTTGCAGAGACCTAGAGGCCGATGGGGGTTGGGGAGGATGAGGCTACCACCTTCTCCAGGGCGCCCCAACCAATTGACCCTATCATCGTGGCCCGGCTGCCCTTGCCTGGCACTCTGCCCTAACCCTGTGCCTCCCTTGTTCGTTTTCACCCTCTTGAGTGCTAGGCCTGTGAAGTCAGATAAATTGGGAGGCTGAGTCAAGCGCAGTTGACGTTCTGGAGCTACACTGTCCAATATGTGGCCACTAGCCACATATGGCCTTTGAGCACTTAAATGTGGCCAGTCCCAACTGAGATATGCTGTAAGTATAAAACACAATCCGAACTTCCAAGACAGGGTAAGACAAAGAATGTAAAATATCCTATAAATGTTTATATCGATTAGATGATGAAATGATAACATTTTTAATGTATTGAGTAAATAAAGTATATTAAAATGTCTCTTTTGGGGTGAGTGTGTGTGTGTGTGTGGTTTTCTTTGTTAATCCTCACCTGAGGATATTTTTCCATTGATTTTGAGACAGAGGGGTAGAGGAGGACAGGGAGAGAAAGAGAAAGAAACATAGATGGATGTGAGAGAGAGGCATCAACTGGTTGCCTCCCACATGACCCTGACCAGGGCCAGGGATTGAACCTGCAACCCAGGTACGTGCCCTTGACCAGGAATCGAACGTGAAGGCCTGTGCTCTAACCTCTGAGCCAAACTGGCCAGGGCTACCTGTTTTGCTTCATTCTATTTTAAAGAGAAAATGTAAAACTCTATGTGTGGCCCTCATGACATTTCTATTGGGTAGCGCTGATCTAGAGCATTGGGGTCACACAGACCCTGGCTCTGCACTCCCGTGCCACATCACTTTGGGTAAGTCCCATATTTGGATATTTCCTAAACTTCTGCTTGGGGCCATCCAACCTTGAAAGTTTCAGGGTGACAAAGCTGAAACCTTGGGAACAGTCCAACTCATCTGCAAATGGTATGTGGTGTTTGTTTTTTCCCTTCAAACTGTATCCCAGTCAGAAGATGCCTTTGACTGATCTGCCATCCCAGCCAGAAGCAGGTTCAGTTCCCTAACTTTGTCCTCCTGGAGGTGGGGAGAGGTGGAAATGGGGTGTCACTGAGGGGTTTTATTCCTGCCCTGCCCAGGGAAACAAGCCAATGAGAAACAAGTCCTGCTCAGGCATTGACCAATCAGAACTAGTGGCCTGGAAGCCTGGTCAGTGAGCTGGTACCCTCAGCTGGTGCCAAGGTAACATGCATGATGGAGAAATGAAGGGGTGTGTGTATAGGAGTGTTCTGAATGAGGGGCTGGAAACTGGGTGGGGGTGGGGCTGGGACAGTGGCTATTTACCAGCCAGCACAGAAATATTTCAAGGCTTACTGGTTGAATGATAGCCACGATCTAAGTACCAGCCAGGGGTAGGGGGTAAGGGAAAGACTAATCTAGCTTAGATGGGCAGACTTGGGGAGGTCTGTACCCCTTGGCAGAATTGCACCCTCTAGTCCAGATATGTCCAGCCCAGCCAAAGGGCATGGGGAGACATTATCCTGGATTCTGCTCAAAACTCACCTGTCCCCAGAAAGGGGTGGGGATGAGGAGCTCCCCATGGATGTCATTTTTTACTCTTCTTTTCCACCCACCAGATCAATGGGCTTATTCCCTTAAAGTGCCTGTTTTAACCCCTATGTAATTCTGTTCAACCACAGAAGTGGGTCTTGGATTAAAATCCAATTAGCTAGCCAAGTATTAACATGAACCTTCAGAAGTCATTCAACTTCACTTTCCTTCTCTAAGCCTCAGCTTTCACATTTCTAAAATAGCAAGAAGCTCGCTTTAATGCGGCTCGTGGTCAACACGCAAGGAGTGACAGTTACTATTACAATGGGAGGACAACATGATGAAGGCGCCAGAGGTGATGACCTCAGGGGCCTAGAAGTGGAATGACGAACTGGGTTAAGAGGTAAGAGCTCTTTCTAAGACAACAATTAAATAGGTTTGAAACCTTCAATGGCTCCAAATCCCCCTCTGAAAAATGGGCAGATTCTTCAAATGCAGCCCATGTCCAACTGAATCCCACCTGTTCTTCCTCCTGCTGTGGTCCACCTCTGCCCACTACCCCTGCCAGTCAGGCTTCTCCAGCTCTCAACCTTACACACACACTCACACGCACACACACACACTGCACTTTCCAGTCTTCAAGCCTTTGCCTATTGGGTCCCCCACCTCACAGTCTGTTTTTCCCATGCTCTCATCACCTCATTCTTGCTGTTGCCTCTGGGGGCCCACCTGGCTGTGCGGAAGACAAGGCTGCTGCCCGGGCCTCTCTCATCCTCCTGGAGATGCTGGAAGGCCATCAGGAGGCTGTAATCCAGCACGTTGAGCTCCTGAAGGAAGGCAGTGTCCAGCTCCATCTGCCGGAGGAACCAGCTCCGCTGGGGACCTGCTGGAGCAGCAGCACCCCGGCCTGAGCACTCATCGTGTGCCAGGCAAAGTGCTGAGGGCTCCACATGTATTTTCCCCAAAAGGGTGGGTGTCATTACTGTCCCATTTCACAGATGAGGAAACTCGTCTGTAATTTGCCTTGGTCACCTAGCTCATAAATTGTGGGGCTGGGATTTGAACCCTGCTTCTCTTGACTCCAGAATCTGGGTTCTTAATGACTTGGGCAGAGGGCAGTGCCAAGGACACCCTTCTAACTTCACCCTGGGTGGAGGACAAGCAGGCAGTGGTGGCTCTGTGGCTCACCCAGGTCGATGGTCTTGCCCTGAAAGTTGAGGTCCTTCAGCACCAAGACGAGGTGGCTGCCCTCAGGGGCGGGCTCCACCCATCGGCTCACCTCACAGCCCTTGATGTCATACCTGGAGGTGAGGGGAGTTGGGGGACACAACAGAATTCAGCTTTACACAGACGAGACACACAGGGACTCTCACAAGGTAATAATACGAAACAAGAGTTTCCACTGGGTGACTGTTCAAATCCTCAGCACAAACCCATTCTATTATTGTCCCCATGTTAGAGATGAAGAGAAAGGCTCAGAGAGGTTCTTTGACTTGCCCAACACCACACATAGCAGGGACTTGAACCCAGACCTTTGGAAGCCCAGTCCAGGCTTTACCCCTGCCTGTGCCTGACTCTTGGCATCTTGTCATCCCTGAGGGTGTCCCAGACACTGGGGTCCAACCCTAGGCAGTAGCACTAGAGGGACCTGAATGTGGCCCTGGGGGGACACTAACGGGGTGCCTCAGTGAGGGCAGAGTCAGGACTGGGAGGCACTGAGGGCAACCCAATGCTGGGCTTGAATCCCTGCTCCTCAGGCAGTAGCCATGTGGCTGCCCTCCTCAGCTCTTCATCTATGAAACGGGGGTGAGCCCTGGCCGGTTTGGCTCAGCGGTTAGAGCATCGGCCCGCGGACCACAGAGTCCCGGGTTCGGTTCTGCTAAGGGCACGGAACGGTTGCAGTTTGCCCTCCGCCCCAGTTGGAGTCGTGTGGGTGACAACCACTCGACGTGTCTCTCTCACATCCACGTTTCTCTCTCTCTCTGCCCCCCTCTCTCCCTCAAAGTAAAATAAAACGGGGGTGATAACTCTTACCCCCAGGGTTGCTGTGGAATAAAGATTATGAATGCTAATGGCTCAACACAGCGCCCCATGTACGCTGAGTGCTCAAGATGCTGGTCGTGGGTACTGCTGTCTCTGGCCCATCAGGAGATGCTGGGAAAGTCCTTCTCCCTGGGCCTGTCTCACCATCCATCTGGTGAGTGAGGGTGCTTCCGGTGGCACATTCCGAGCGAGGCCCTGCGAGGCCAACTCACCTCTCAGCGATGCGGCCAGCAGGATAGAAGACGCTCTGCATGACGATGAAGTATTTCTGGAGGGGGGATAGGGAGTGAGGAAGGACGGATCTCCCGCTGCAGCCGCCCCCTCCGGCCGGCCCCCTCGCCTGGGCCTCACCCACCTTCTTGCCCCGGGCCACCCGCAGACTGTGCACTCCTGGAAGGGGAGAGGGCGCCAGGTGAGCTGCCCCAAACTCTGCAACCTGGGGTCCATCGCGCCCTAGTCCCAGCTCAGGCCACGCCTCCTCGAGTTCCGCCGCATCCCCAGCCGCCCCTCCAGCTGTGCCCCAGACCCCTTCCTCAGCCCGGGTAGGTGCGCGGATTCCACTCGACTCCCCTCTAGACAGCCCCACAGACGCTGGGTTCTCTGGCTTGGCCTCGCCCACATGCCCTGCCCCAGGGCTGTCCAACCCTAACCTCGCCCCGTTTGGCCCCGCCCCAGATCCTGGCCCCGCCCACCGACCCCACAGTCCCGCGACGCTGCCATTTCGGATTCGCAGGGTACCGAACTCTGCGGTTGGTAGGATCCGCCTCCAGCCCAGTCCCCTCCACCTGGCTAGGCTCAGGTACCCCGCGCTCCCGCATCGTGGAACCAGCCCACTCCCTGGTCCCCTCCCTTCCTGTCTCTCCCCTCGCCCTTCCCCACCCCCTCCGGCCTGCAGTCCCGGGTCCCCTGGCTGGTCATACCCAGCAACCGCGCGAGCAGCGAGTGTGGGTGCCGCTGCAGGTGCTGCACGTAGCGGGGCAGGTGGGCGAGCAGCGCCTGCACCTCCCTGCGCCGCTGGGTCTTCAGGAAGAAGCGCTGGTCGTGGCTGGGGAGGGGGAAGATATCACTGCCTAGGCCGGGTTGGAGCAGCTCCCACCGTGCTCCCTGACCCCTCCTGTCCATGTGTGGCTCTGTCTCCTCAGGGCCGGGCTCTAGCCCTCAGTCTCTCCTCTGACCCATATCTGTCTGAGACCCTCCCTGAGCTGGCCACTCTCTCCCCAAATGCCACCCTCCACCCCAGGACACCACTCCCACCCCTTCCCCACCCCTGCTGCCAGCTCACGACAGGAAGAAGCTGGCCTTGCTCTTGGAGGTGCTGAGGAACTGCAGGTAGGGGCCACCAGGCCCCAGTGCGGCCTGGTAGTCCTCCTCGGCCAAGCCTAGGGAGTGGCGAAGACAGGCGAAGGCCGGGCCAGCCAGGGTGCCCAGCTCGAAGCCCTGTGGGGGAGGAAGAGCAGCCGCAAGAGTGTCCACGGGGATCCAGGCATGTGCAGTTGGCCCTCGTGCGGAAAGGTCAAGGGAACCACACCCTTCCTGGAGGCCTTGAGGCACTGTACCCATGGGGAAACTGAGGAGAGAGAACTAAGATGGCATCTGACCCCTTCATGCAGCAGTCTGAGGCTTCCTACCTCGTGAACCTGAGTCAGGACCTCGGAGAAATCCTCCTCAGTGGGCAGCCCCTGCAGGGAGGGGCAGAAGGGCTCAGAGCTAGCATCAGGCCCCCATCGCCAGCCCCAGGATCTCCAAGCATCCCACACCTGGCCTCAGCCAACTTGATTCTTCCAGCAAACAGGGACTGCCCTGGCTTGGGCAGATGGGGGCTGCAGACCCTCCCAGGGCTGAAGGAGAATGAGAGAGTGGCCTGAGGCAGGTCCTGGGTATGTCTCCTTCACAGCTGGGTCCCCAGCACCTGGCACATTCGCCCAGACACACACATTGGCTAAGTGCAGCTGGATGCCATCTCTGTAAAAGGTCATGGCCTTGAAGCCAAGGGACCTGCCTGACTCAGCCTGGGAGAGAGGTAGGACCAGAGAAGGCTTCCTGAGGGAAGTGACCTGTAAGCTGAAATCTGACGGAGAAGAGGAAGAGGATGCGCATAGCAGTGGCAACTACATTGGTGGCCACCAGGAAGGGAAGGAGGGACCGAGTGGCTGAAGTGAGTAAGGGAGGGATGGAGTGTGAATGAGGCTGGATAGTTGGCCCTTGGCTTGAACCAGCAGGATCCTGAGTACTGGGGAGCTATGGAAGGGTTTCTGCAGGTAATGAGGTCACGTTGTGATTTTCAGCAAGTGATGAGATTTAGAGGACACTGTCTGCTCCTATACTCTCCCTGGACCTCTAGGTCCTTGTCCCTATGGGATTTGGTCACACTGTGCACACACCACAGATAACATACATGCTCACCCGGGCCTGTCTAGCTGCTGAGCTGGCAATTGGACAGCCTTTTCTGCTGAACCAGCCTGGCCCCAGCTTGAACTCCAGGGAGAATGAGCCATGCTGGCGGGGTGGGGGTAGGGTCCTTTCTCAATCATACACTCTGGAAGAGCTGGGAGGGCCTCAGAGACCAAGGAGTACAATCCCCTCCCCCGAAGTAATTATATATTACACAGACGGGGACACTGAGGCCCAAAGAGAGGCAGAGACCCATCTAGAATTACACAGCAAACACCTGGGTCAGGGGGTTCCTCACATCCCTAACACACCCTGGACTTTCTGGCTTCCTGGCCTTAGCCCAATCCCAGAATGTCCCTCCCTCCCTGCACCAAGCCCCTCATTTCCTCTCCTTATAGCCCTTTCTGATCCCCAACTCTGCAGCAGTAGCAAGACAGGACATCAGCCTAGTCTTGCCATTGGTGCATAGGGCAGATCGGCCACTCACCCTGTGCGGGTGATCCATAGAGACCTGGGTGGCAGCCCACAGCCCTGCCTGCATCATACATGTCAGCCGGTGCAGCTCATGTCCCGGGCTGATCTCAAACAGGCCTAGGCGCAGCTGCTTGTCTCGTAGACGCCAGAGAAGGCCATGGCGGCCGGAACTGGAGGTGGTTGCTTTTCGTCCGGCCTCTGGAGAGGGGGCCAGGACCTGGTGGCAGAAGGCACAAGAAGCAATGAGCATGTGACAGCATCGCAGAGGGGAAAGACAAGGGTGTGAGTCCCATCTCCACTACTTTGTGCCCTCCTCTTATTTCTCTCTGCCTCAGTTTCCTCAGTTGTAAATATGGATAATGCTGGTACCCAGGCGCTGGCAATGCAGTCAGCACCCAAAATAGAGTGATGGCTATTATTAGCAGTGAGGAGAGCATGCAGTTCTGCAGCCAAACCTGGCCCAAGACTGTCTCACCAGCTGTGTGACCTTAGGTAAGTCACCTAACCTGGGCCTCATTTTCTCATCTGTAAAATGAGAATTATTACAACAGCGTGGCAGATATTAACTGTTGTTAGTGTTGAGTTTGAGCTCTGCACAGGAACCCTTGATAGGAGCTGTGATGCCAAGTGATTCAGTCAAGTATTACATCTATACTGAGTTCCTCTAGGCCAACTAGGAAAGCCAGCAGGAGGCTGAGGTTACAGCCACTAACCTATTAGTAGTGGGCACCCACCATGTGACCAGCACTGGTGGAGAGTTTGACCTCTTAATAACCCTATGAAGGAGGAACTTTTGTTATCATCTCCATTTTCCCCGTGAAAAAAACTGAAGAAGTTCTCGGGGGATACCTGCCAGACTTTCCCCCTTATACCTGCGGTTCCCACGTGGGGCGTGTCCTGGTCCCCGCCCAGTTCAGGACCCCTCCTGAGCTTGACCAGGGGTGTGTCCGCCCCACACAGGGAGGGGAGGTCCAGCTTTTGCTCCCTAACCCTTCCCTCTCCTGTCCTCTCTCCAGTCCTCACCTACCTCGCGGGGCCCCGGGCTCGGTGCGGCCATGGCCCCCGCAGCAGCTTCCCGGGCTCTGGCCGCATCCCCAGCCGCCTGGCAGACCCGCTGCAGGAGCCAGGCCCCGCCCCTGCTTCTGGACCGACCAATCGTGCGGAGCCGGTCACGGCTGCACCCAATCCGCGCGGGAGTCCCCTGCAGTTGCCTGCGAGTCCCGCCCCCGTAGCTGCAGCATCTTTGGGCCAGCGGTCCAGGTCGGGGCGGGGCCGCTGCGTGCTGGTTAGGGTCCCTGAGCCGGACGACCTCCTCCCCCCGCCATTCCTCCCCTGAGGTAGAAAACTTGGGTTTCCGGCGGTGGGTAAGCTAAATACAGTCCCGCCCACCCACTCTGGCGTGAAATTCCCATCGACCTTCGTTCGGGTAAGGAAACTAAGGTCCAGAGAGAGAGAGTAGTGACCACCTCCAGGTCACACAGCAAGTCTGGGGCATGCATTTATTCAACACATATATTTAAACACATACTATGGGCCGGGAGCAGTGCTAGGCCCCCCGGGGGATTTAGTGGAGAATGAGAGGGAGGAAGACAGCTGCTGGCGAGATCTTTTATCTTTTTTTTGTTGTTGGTATGTGCCCCTAGCGGGAACCGAACCCTGGACTCTCTGGTCCGCAGGCTGACGCTCCAACCACTGAGCCAAACCGGCCGGGGCTGGCGAGATCTTTTAAAAGCATAAATCGGATGATGTCACTCTCTTGCTTAAAGCCGTCACCCCTCGCCATGGTCCCAGGCTCTTCTGCCTGCTCTCCAACCCCATCCCAAACTGTTCTTCCTACACCCACTACACAGCCACAGGGAGTTTTAGCTCTTAAACATAGGTCTTTGATTCATTTTGAGTTAATTATCTTATATGGTATGAGAAATGGGTCCTATTTTGTTCTTTTGCATGTGAATATCCAGTTGTCCCAGCAACTTTTGTTAAAAAGACTGTTCTTTCCCCCACAGGCACCCTTGTTGAAAATTAGTTGACCATCACCCTGGCCGGTTTGGCTCAGCGGTTAGAGCGTCAGCCTGCAGTCCAGAGAGACTCAGGTTCAGTTCCCACTGAGTGCGTATCTCGGTTGCAGTTTTTCCCAGCCCTGGTTGGTTGTGCGGGTGGCAGCCACTCGATGTGTCCCTTTCACGTCGATGTTTCTCTCTCTTCCTCTCTCCCCCTCCCACTCTACCTGAACAAAAAATGGAAAAATGTCCTCAGGTGAGGATTAAAAAAAAACACATGTGACAGAGTCCTAAGGAATTCACTCTCTCATGAGACATAAAATAGGAGAATGCATCATCACAGACATTGAGAATGTCTGAGGGTGCACCCAGAGGGGATGGCACAGGCCACGTATGGCAGAGGGGTCAAGGAAACATGCTTTGGATGTAAAGACCAAACATCACAGGTGGTCTGAGCAGGTGCAGATCTCCTGGAGTGATGCTAAGTGCAGTGCAGGTGAGGAAATGCAGGCGGCAGGTGCGAACACCCTGTGGGAAGTCTGGCTGTGAAGGTGAGAGCCCTGGAGGGACTTACTGGCTTGATGGCGGGTCCCTTAAGTGAGAGCCTGAAACATGTTCACTAAAGGTTGGGAAGGCTCTGTTGACAGAGGCTCTTCCCAGGAGAGGAGACCCATCAGACAGGAGGCTCCTGCTCTACAGTGGGAAAGGACAGGACTCAAAGCCCAGGTGGGCAGCTCTGCCTGGACTGGGAGAGGGCAGGACAGGTGAGGACTGGGCAGGTGTGCCTACAGTTGGTCTTCATTGAGAATGACACCTCCACTAACTGGAGGGAGAGTGAACGTCCAAGGTGTGATGGGATAGAGGCTCATGTTTGGCACTGGATGGGAGAGCTGGCTGCCCAGGGCACGGAGGGATTGCTGGGGGGCTAGGGCTGGCGCCTGTGCCAGGTCAACCAGCCAGAACACAGTGGAACCAGCGCTACCCTGGCTGAGCTACACTAAATTGGGCTGCTGGTACAAGAGATGGACAACAGGTCTGGTCTTTTAGGGGACTGGGCTGAGGACCCCCAAAATACTAGGGCATGCTAGCTGGGCTGACACAGTGGAGGTGTGGTGAAGGTTGATGCAGGGTCTGACAGATTGTGCCTCCACTGACACCCCAGCCATGAGCTGCAGTGGGTCGGAACCACATCTGTCCCAGTTCCAGCTTGTGCCTAGCACAGGGATGATCCAGGAGGCACCTGAAGTACTTCAATGCACAAATCAGGGCTCCTGACTTGAGACCAATGCAGTGGCCAGCTCCCAGCCCCTCTCCAGTCCCCAGAGCCCAGCTCCCCTGGTCAAGGATGGCACAGAGACAAACAAACCATCAGTGTTTATTGTTCAGCTCTCCCCAGTAGGTCAGTTCTAAGGCTGAAGGACTGGGCCTTCATGAGAACTATGTCTGGGACCTAGTGTGCCTTGAGGCCTGGAGGGGTCCCAATGCCTGTCAGTCCTCCCGTCAGGCTGTCCAGGTCCAGATTCCACGGGGTCCCAGGCTATGTCAGACCTGGGAGAGCTGACTTTGTGGAAGAAAAGGATATGTACGGAGAGGCTACATGATGTCTCAGAACCTGCCAGTTCCAACATCAGCATGTGACAGGAGGGAAATTGAGGCAAGAACCCAGAGGAAAAAGTGACAGGGGGTCTGAAAGGGAGGTAGGGAGGACCAGCATCTTTCAGGCCCTGATCCAGAACGGGAAGAGAGGTACTTCCTCCTGGCTCTGGAAGAGTGAGCAGGAGAGAAGTGGGGGTTCTAATCAGTCAGGGGTGTGTCCTGAACAGCTCCTTCCCCAGGGGTGTCTGCAAGGCAGCCATGCTTGAGGGGGTGTAGTGCCTGCACAGGTCCTATGGGCCCCCGGCCCTTGGTATGCACTGGAGGGGAGGCAGAGAAGCAGTCAGCAGCTTCATTCCCGCTGGGTCCTCACTGAGCCTTTTTGGTCACCTTCTGGTTCTTCAGCATCACATAGGTGATGAATATTCCTGGAATATACAGATCAGAAAGGCCAGGTAAGATCCAGGCTCAGGGCTGCTGGAAGGCCAGAGCAGGGCACAGCATGACAGAGTGACTCATACATGGGGCCAAGGACTTCCCCAACCACCCTGCAGGCCACCTGGTCATCTCCCTAGTTATCCATCAAGCCACACATCCACCCACATTCATTCAACAAACACCACTGAGTGCCCACCACAGGCAATTTGCTGTGTTTAGTGTTTCAGATTCTATAGCATCTGATCACCCACCAACCCACCCACCCCATCATCCAGTCATCTGATTTTTGACTCGTCCAAACCACTTTCTTGAGCACCAACTTGGTGCTCTGGACTGTGTAGGAGCTGAGGACACAGTAATAATGAAGACACAGTCCTAGGATGCCCATACACTAAACCATGGGAGACAAGAGAGGTGCAGGCATCATGAGCCAGGGTCACAAGGGGGTGAGAGGTGATTAAGATGTGAGCAGAGCAATGATGGTGGTAGTGAAGGGAGCAGGAAAAAGGGAGACATCCTATTAAAGTCCAGTGAGCCCCAGGCACCTGGAAGACTGTAGACCTGAGGGATGAACAGGAAAACCGCCAGGGTGAGTTGAGGGCAAGGAGCCTCAAGCAGATGTCTGGCAAGTGCCAAAATTCAGCTGCACATTCAGAGGCAGGAGAGGGTCATGAGGACTCCCAGACACCCTGCCCAGGGGAATGCTGACTTACCCACAAACAAAAGCAGCAGGAGGCCAGCAACTAGTGGGATGGCAACGGCATAGGCTCGGGGCAGGAAATACTTGTGGATGACATGCTGGCTGTCGATGAATGGCTGGCATCGAGGATAGAGCTCAGGTGAGCATTCCCCACCTTGCCCAGCTCCCCCAAGCCCAAACATCCACCTCCTCCATCTCAGGGGCAGATCCCACTCAAACCACTGGGACAATCTTTGCTTTTCTTTAAGATTTGTGTGCACTGGTTTGTTTCCTTCCTTCATTTATTTAATCACTGTTTACTGGGCACTTGCCCTAAGTTAGTGCTGGGGATCTGGCAGGGAACAGAAGATAAAGGACTTGCTCAAAGGCCCTCACAACCTAACAGGGAAAAGGTACACGAGGAAGCCTGGAGTGATTCCCAGCCTGGGCTCCAAGCTCTTCTTTACTAACATTTTTCTCCAAAGGATACAACATACTGCAAGACTTTGCCTTCCAAAAAAACCCCCGCCCCCATCAAAATCCTAAAGGGCCTCACAAAATCCATTGGCACTTATCATGCCCAGGAGCCAGTAGGATAACTAGAAGGACTAGACCTCCCGTCAAAGGCAGAGCAAATCAGGATCAGGGCTTTACAGCGTAGCAGTTAAGGATATGACCTTGGGTCCAACCACTGTCCCTGAGCCTCAGCTCCTCATCTATAAAATGGGGACAGCACCAGCACCTTCCTCATAGTGCTGTTCTGGAGATTTCATGAGGTATTCTGGTAAATCAGCTAGCACAATTCCTGACACATAGTAGCTGCTTAAATGATGTTAGGGGTCGGCTGTAAGACCCATCCACGGAGGCGAGAAAGGGAGGGGTAAGTACACGTACCAGGAGAATCACCCAGGCGGTGTAGTAGGTGAAGATGATGAGGCTAACGGCGACGAGGCCGAGTCCCACCACCTGGTCTGTCCCCGTGGCCTGAAGAAAAGGGAGGGCTCAATTGACGAAGTGACCCCACTTAGGTGTACTAATGGAGGGGGGGCGTCGCAGCCTGATTGTGTTGGCAGAGTGCCGGGCTCAGCGTTTTCACCGTACAATGGGTCGGCGGGACAGCAATCCCGATTTTGAGTGCCCAAGCCCTGCTCCGGAACAGACCCGGAATCCCCAACCCCAACATTCCGCCCCATTCTCACCATCTCCCCGCGCTCCGCGCCGGAGCACCAAGCCGCATCCGGTTCCGGATCCGGGCCCTTCTGGCCTCCGGCCGCAAGGCACTCCGGGAGTCGTAGTCCTTACGCCGGCCCAGGCCCACGTGGTCTGAGACAGGCAGGCACCGCCTTCTCCCCTTGCATGTCGGGAAATGTAGTTTCTCAAGAGCATTGTGGGACAAGTTGTTCCCGAATCTTCCTAGGTACGGGACTGAGCTGAGGATCCAGACTGGTACTCGTGGCCTCAGCCCCGTCGAACTCGCCCCAGAAGGAGAGCCCTTTCCTAGATATTCCAAAGCCCCAAGGCCAGAGCGGAATGGGGTGGGCGGCCAGAGGTCTCATTTTTCAGATGGAGAATTGAGGCTCAGAGAGGGGCGAGGACTCGCGAGAGATCACAGTTCGAGTTTGTGGTGAAGCCAACACCAGAACCTCGGGCTCTGCCTCCCGGCCCGGGGCCCTAACTTGTCTGTGGAAGGGAGGATGGAGAACAGGCACCGCCCGGCTGGGGTGGGAGGAGGGGCTGGCCCGCGCCCGCGGGGGTGGGGAGGTTGTCGATGGGCTTCCGCGTCCTCCCTTCACTGCAGGGATGAGGCCAGGGTGACCCTCCCGCCCCTCACCGGCTGCCCCTCGGGCCCTGGACGTCGCGACAGCCCAGGCAGCAGCCCACGCACGTCTTCGGACTGGCCGCGCCTGCAGGCCCCTCCCCAGCCTTGGAGGCCGTTTCCTCTGAGAGCAGGGGGCTGGGCCTCCTCGATGCTCGTTGACGTGTCCCCAGTTCTGGAGTCTCCAACAGTCTTCCCGCAGCTCGGGGGCTGGCTGCTCCTCACTCATCAGGTCTCACTGGGATGCACACACCCCAGGGAAGTCACCTTCGCAGCCGGGCGGGGGTTCCGTCGTCTGCTCCTCAGTGCTGCACAGCCCCAAGTGTCTCCATGATGACGCCTGTCGCCGAGTTTTAATTAGCTGATTTACTTGATCTGGCCCACCGACTGAGCTCCCTGAGCATAGGGCCGGGGGTCACTGCTGTATCCCCAGTGCGCAGAACGGAGTTCTGCACAAAGTAGGAGCTTGGAATGAACCAACCGATTTTAAGATTGGGTGGCTTTTTGATCTTGGAATGCTACAGAATAGGGGGTGGGGGGCGCACGTGGAGATATGGTCTGAACCTGGCAGGCTCCTTCTAGCAGCATCTGTCTCCTTGGGTGGTCTGAGCCCATCGCTATGGGGACTGCTTTCCCAAAGCTGATAGAGCAACCTTTTTTCTTTCCTACCATCTGGATACTGATTTTTCACTTAGCATTACTGTGTTCCAAAGGGGCAACCCTTTTTGGCCTACAGCCCAATTCCTTCCCCCTTCCCTCTCCACCTCAGGAGAGACTTTGGGCTCAGCTGAGAGCCAACTGTTCCTTCACCAGCTGTGCACTGAACAGAGGAGGGGGGCTGAGAATCAGCCTCTAGGGTTTATAGGGGTTATGCCGGGGTGGGGGTGGGGGGCAGGCTGCAGCAATGCAGTGCTGTGGCAGGGATGGACCTGGTGGTCTGGTTCTTTCTGGCCTGTCCAAAGCCACTGAGGTTTCCTGCTACTTCTGAGATCATTAAAGTTCCAGGGTGACATGCCTATCTCAGGGCTTGGTACAAACTCCTCTAACTTTAAATGGGCAGGAAGCAAGAGGCCCAGGCCTGGAGACTTAGAAGTTGGGGACATGGCTCTGTACCTTCCATAACTCAAGCTGTACACCCACTTTCTCTTGATCCACAACCTCATTTGCAGCTGAGAAAGCTGGGCTCAGATAGCTTTTTGTCTTCGGCATGCTTGCTGGAGACCGCCTGACTGCAGGGGCAGTCTGTAGAGCAGTGGTTAGAACTTGGGGTGAGGTGAGAGTTGCCAGTTACTAGATCTGAGACTGGCAAGAAACTACACTTCTGGGCCTGTGTCCTTCCCGGGACTCTGGTGTAATATTGTGACTTCAGCCAAGACTCGGGGAACCCTGGCCACCTTCTTCCCCACCCCCAAAGCATTACCTTCCATCTGATGCTGGCTTTGACCCCAAAGTGGGTAAAACAAATAAACAAGAACCAACATGCCATAACAAACAAAAACTGCAACATTTAATTTTTTCCCCAAACCAAGACATTGACACTAGGCTGATTTCCCTTTACAATATTATTTTCTACAGTAGAAGCTGGGACAGAGATACAAATACAGCCCACTGAACCAGGGTGTGGTGGTGGCAACATTCTGTCAAAAAAAAGGGGAATTAAAAAAAACCAAACAACCCCCCTCCCCCCATCTCCCTGCTCACCTCCCTCAAGAGAGGAGATCATGGACATTCTCCATCCTGGCAAATCGTGCCATGTGGTCAGTTTGTGAGGTGACCAGAAAAATAATAACCTAAAAATATTGTAGATTTTTATTTTCTTTAATAAATCTCCTAGTAAAAACGTTAAACTGTCTTCCAAGAAGATTCCGACCGACATTGCATAGACCAATTCCTTTCCAAAAATATCTCTAATATATTCCTCTCTATCTCTCTCTATATAGAATTTTTAAGTCTAGGAGCTGTGGGCACCTAGTGGGAAGTCACTGAGCTTGAGGGGACCAGAGGGCTCCCACGTGGGGATGAGGCCGGGCTCCAGGCCTCCAGCTCCAGCCAGCACTAATTTGGTTATGGCTGAATTCTCTGTCCAATTACCCTGGTCCAGGGCCTGGCAAGGGAGGATGTGGCAGGCTCTGTCTCCTGGGGTGACTGTCAAGTTCAGACCTCATCATCTAGAGTGGGGTTCCTAGTTTGGGGAGTCTCCTCAACAGCACCAAAGCTAGCTGTTTTATCCTAAAAGCCCCAGAACTTTGAATCAGATACCAAATACACCTTGAATGCACCTTCCCACTGGGCTGAGGTCATGCAGACACAGGAGGGAAGGGGGTCACTTCATCTGGAGACAGTGTAGCCAATCCCCTTTTAAAGTGACAGGTGTCGATGGGACAGGAAGGGACCCAGAGAGCTGACTAGAGCCTTCTCCAGCCAGAGCAAATGTTCCATCCTATTTCGACAGGCACCTTCTAACATTCATTTTCTGTAAGAGTTAGGTGATTAAAAACAACAACAAAATCCTAGAAATGCTCTGGTCCCAATGCTGGGAGGTTCCAAGACTAAGACTCCAACTCTTGCCAGCTGGGGCAGAAGGGCAAGGACCCCTCCCAGCCTGGGGAGGACACCCTTACCCTCACCCCTACCAGAGGGAGAACCAGTATCCCGGGCCCCCATGCAGATCCCCAGCCCTGCTGGGATCCAGTCAGTGGGTAGGGCAGAGAACAAAACCACCTCCCCTCACCTGGAGGAGGAAAAAATAACAAACTGTGAACCCTAAAAAAAAGGGGGGGGAATGAAAGAAGAAAAAAAAAAGTATAGGATTCAGTAAACACCAGCCTGCTGGGTTTATATAAAAATGAGTGAAATTAAAGAGTGGCAGGGAGTCTGTCCAGGGGCTGGCTGGCAGCCAGCACCCGCCTTCAAGCAGGTAACGAGGACGGGGAGGAAAGTGCTCAGAGCAGAGGCTTTAGTGAGGAGCAGGAGCAGGGCCAGACTGCTCTCTGCTGGAAACCCCCATCAAGGGCTTTGCCTAACTCTTGCCCAGAGCGGGGGTGCTTTCAGAGGAGGGCTCAGGCTTTTCTGGTCAGTAAGTAAGCCAGCTCCAGCTGGTCCAGTCACAGCCCACCTGCCCTTCAGCAGCGGCCCCAGCCCGGGCTAGCTGACTCCAGGGGACAGAAAGGGGGTGGTGCTTACCCAGCCCAGTCAGGCCCCTGACCTCCAAGGGCTTGGGAGGCACCTTCCTGGCTTTCTACAGGAAACCAGCTGCTCAGAACCCAGCCCTGGGCAGAGGGGAACCACCATCGAAGCTCAGACCTTTCTCAGCATGGGTCTCAGGGCCGAGCTGCAGCTAACTGGAGGGAGAGGCGGTGCCGCGGTCCAGCCGGGCTGCTGGAGCTGGGCCGCTGGCTGCACGGCAGGCAGCGCCCAGGAATCCGTGGGAAGGGGTCAGGAAGCGCAGGCGAGGGCCAGTGGGGCTGTGCTGGACACAAGCATGTGCAAAGTGCAGGCTGCCAGGGCAGCAGGGGAACATTCGTTGGGGGAGGGAATCTCAATCTGGAGTGTGGGTGGGGTCTGAGGTCTTGGCTCCCAAGAAGAGGCCGCCAGCGGGTCCCCCAGGGCACAGGGAAGGGATAGCTGAAGCAGTAAGCAGTCAGAGGGCCACAGTGGCAGGATTCTGGGGGTGAACTGGCCCCCAATGGCAAGGGAGCAACAGAACAGAGCCCTGCCAGGACATGGTTGAGCTGGCACTCCTAGAATGAACAGGGACACAGGGCAAGAGGCCCCTTGGCCACAAGCAGCTCCGCGTGGAGGAGCTGCTGCGTGTACCCACTGAGGGGCCGGTCGGTATCCAGCAGGGGATCCTGGCCGGCTTCATCTTGCCCACCTACTTCATGGGCCTGCGTGTCCTGCCCTCTAGTGGTTCAGAGAATATTCACAGTGGTGCCCAGGCCCTAACAGGCCAGGAGGGTCCCAGCACGGATGGGAGGACAATGGAATGATGCTTTGGGCAGGAGTGCATGGAGGAGGCACAGATGAGATGTGGAGTGGACGGTGATCCAAAGGGGAAGGTCCCTCGTGGAATGACACGGGTCTGGACACCCGCAATGGCAGGGCCCTTCTCCAGCCTGGACACCCGCTCCTCAATGGCTTTCAATCACGACTGGCTCGTAGACCCCAGAGGAGACCCTGTGGGAAGAGACAGGTCAGCTCGTCCTCCTCAGTGCTCCTCTGGGCCAGGCCCTGAGGCACTGCACGAACAGGCACTGTTAACTGGCCCCGTTTAGCCTAAAAGGAAACGAGTTTGACACAGATGAGAAGTGTCGGTCTATGGGATCGCGGCACGGGCACAGGCTATGCCCCAGCTCTTCCTGGGCACCAGTGGCTTACACACGGGGTGTGCTGAGCCCATCTTGACAGCAACCCTGGAAGGGAGGGACTGCACACCACCCCCCTTGACAGATGAAGAAACTGAGGCTCAGAGGGATTGAGGCTTGCCAAGAGGGCAGCAGACATTCTGGGCTCAGCAAGCTGCTCTGCTGTGACCTTGCTGTCAAAGAGACTGGTTTTCCCTCCCTGAAACCCAGTTTCAAAGGGAGGCTAGCGAGAGAGGTGTATACACAAACCTTCAAAGAGGTCCCCCTGTTTTTCCCCCCACCTCACAGAAACAGCCCAGACTTCAGGGAGATGGCAGATGCAATTTTGAGCCTTGCCAGCAGGGGTCAGCAGAGTAGCGCCAGAGGGCAGGTCTGCCCGCCCCCAGCCAAATCTCCTTCAGCTCTGGCCCTAGATGTTAAAGGGGCACTTTCCCACCCTGCCCACCAATGAGGAAAGCTCCTCCACCCACTCAATCATCCAGTGAGACAGGCACATGGTAAAATGCTGTAATATATGATTAAGAGGACACTGGCATTCCATAACTCAAGTTCAAGCCAAAGTTTGATCCTACCACCCCCAGCATCATGAGGGCAGAAAACTGTGTTGTTTACTGTACCCCCAGCACCTCAATCAGTGCTGGTGTGCAGCTGGTGTGCAATAACTACCTGTCCAATAAACGGGCCATCATCATCTTGAAGGGGTTCCCAGATCCAGGAGGAAGGGAAAGTAGGGCCCCAAATCAAGATTATCAAGCCCCTGCTCTGTGCCAAGCCCTGTGCCAGGCACTTTCAGTGGTTACCTTTGGAACCCCCAAAACCAACCCTGAAGCACTGTCCCAGGTTTCTAGTTGAGATGTGGCCCACACCATTTGAGAGATGGGGAAACTGAGGCGCAGAGAGAAATGACTGGCCCCAGTCATGCTGTGGCGTCAAGAGCTGGCATTCAAAGCCAGGTCAGTAGGCTTTAGAGACTTTGCTCTCAGATCCATGACTCCCACGGCCACCCTAACCACCCACCCTTGAACCTTCACCCCTACCTGTTGGCCAGCTGGATGCCACTGAGCGTGGTGGAGCCATCGCGGCTCACGAACAGCCGGAGGTTGCTGTCTGTGGGGACACGGGAGGATAGAGGCTGAGCGGGGGGAGCCCTCATGAGCTGGCAGCACTGTCCCCCCAGCCCACCCAGCGTGGGCAGCTCACCTTCAGTGTTGCTGCCGTCTGTAAAGTCCTGGCTCTGCATGATCTTCTCCACGATGTCATCTGCATCAATCCGCGTGTCATCCACCCAGGTCGGGTGGCTCTCCACCGAGTCCTTCTTCCTCCTGGAGCAGGGCAGGCCGAGTCACAACAGTCAGGGTGGTAATGGGCACAATGATGACAATAGTGGGCACCTACATCGCTCAGGATGCTCTAAGGCACGGGAGAGCTTGTTCAGGTTGTAGTCACTCAACCCTCATGCAGCCCTACTATGCAGGTGCCAGTATTACTGGTCTTACAGATGAGGACACAGGCTCCGAGAGGCCACACAGCACCTAGACAGGGACCTAGTAGGTACACTCTGTCATACCCAGCATCCGCTAACTGAGCACAGCATGCCAGATAGGTCAGGGCCAACTCATGAACTTCAACTGCTGAATCATCACCATCCAACCCTGATGCTGGGACCCTACTGTCCGAGTTGCAGGTAAAGAAGCCAAGGTTCAAGGAGCCCCCAGGAGAGGTCTGTTCTCCAAAGCGCTGAGCAGTGAGACTCACCGAAATGAGCGGTCTGACAGATGCGGGGGCCGGGGTGGCCGGGGTGGCTTCTCGGGGGGCCGGTGCTCACGCTCGCCACCCTCAGGGCCCTCCACGGTCATGCTGAGGCCACCAGAGGCACTGCTGCTGGTGGACGTGTTGCGACGGTGCGTCAAGTCGGAGAGGCTGGAGGAGCGCGAGTGCTCCGTGCTGTAGCCTGCTGGGCGGGTGGGCGGGCAGTTCGTGACAAGAGGGCGGGTCATGTGGAAGGCCAAGGGCACAGGGCCGGGTGGGCACTCACCAGAGATCTTGGACTGCTGGCTGGCATAGCTGGAGTTGCGGGAGTGACCAGAGTGGAACACCTCCTCGGGGCTGGACAGGTTCTGGTCTGTCTCCTCGGGCACCCCTGGAAGGCAGGGAGAGGGGCGGGGGTACAGTGGTGCTGCCCTCTGGCAGGGGGCGGGGCGGGGAGACACTATGTGTTTCCATTTAGCAGACAGAAACAGGTTCACAGGAGCAGCAATCTGCTCCAAAGCCCAGTTCACCTCTGGCCCAGGCTCATGAATTCTGCAAGTATCTGTCAGGGACCCCTCTGTGCACGGTGCTCCCTGCTGGGTGCGTGAACGGGAGACAGGGTGTCACAGGTCTTTGGGGAGGAAGAATGTTGAACAAAACATGACCCGCAATGAACTGCCACTGCGGTGAGAGGTGCAGAGCAGTGGCCGGGGTCTGACCCAGGCTGCGACCGGGGAAAGGCAGGCTCCCCCGAGGCCTCACTGTGAGACCCTCAGGAGCCACGGGAGGAGGCCAGCCAGAGCAGGCATCAGAAAGGGCCTTCGGGAGGGAACTAAGGCAAAGGCCCTGAGGCTTGTGCGAGCTATAGTCAGTGCAGCTGGAATAAAGCAAACAAGCGTGAGGGGAACAGGCTGACAGCCCTGCTCCAAGTCACCCATGACCCCAACTTCGAAACTAACACCCCAGCCCTTCCCAACAGGAGGTGCGGGGGAACAGGTGGATCCACCCAGGGCTCCGTGGGTACCCAGCCACCAGTCCTCCTGTGGTAAACACAGGAAGTAAGGCTTGTCCATCCCCTCTTCGGAGATGAGCTCAGCCAGACCCCCAGCTGGATCCCAGGCCTGCTGTGTCCCCAACCAAAGTCACGGGGCTTTAAGTCCCCAACAAGTTCTCTCTGCAGAGGAGGGCAGGGGTGCAGAAAACCAGCTACAGAGGCATTTGGGGCATACCCCCCACGCTGCCTGGGAGAGGCACTGCTGCTACTTTGCATGAAGGCATCATCTGTGCTGGGGTGGCGTGGTCCCCAGAGGGCCCTGTTCCCAAGCGCAGCCCCCTGGCTGGGGCTCCAGGAAAAGAGGAAGTGGAGGAAAGCTGGCCCTTGAGATCAGGGGGTCCTCACCGCTCCCAGCCCCCGGGGGCAGAAGCACCCAGCAAACATCTGCTGAGCCACCCGGCTTTGTGCCCTAATTGCTCTTGTGACACAAATTAGGGTCACCACATGCCGCCTTGTTCACTAATCAGCTGGGGGGCAGCTCAAAAGCCACCACTTCAGGGAGACTGCCCTGGTCCCAGAGACATGTGTCTCTCTCTCAGTTCTTGACACTCGGCAGGTGGACGTGCATTTGACTTATTTATTGTCTGACTGACGCCTGTCTCTCCTGCTAGGTGGGGAGGGCCATGAGGTCAGGGACACCATGTCAGTCTCTGCCCAGGGCGCTGCACAGTGCCTGGCACATGGGAGGGGCTTGGACATGTCCGCCTAATGGCAGCGTGGATGGTGTAAACACCATCCCACCACCTCTCTTCTCAACAACCATCTCCCTTGGGACAGCTGGGAGGTAAAGGGGGGCCAGGGACAGGTGGGGAACGGTACCTGAACTGAGGATGGTGGGCCGGACCTTGGGGGGCCGGGACCCCGTCAGGGAGTTGGTGCTGCTGCCGCCACTGCTACTGGTCCCGCCACCCTTACACGTCAGCTGCAGGGAAGAATCCTGGCCTGGGATGGAGATGGACTTGGCAGTAGACGGCGGCCTTGGGAGGACAGAGGGGTGACTGTGGTGCCCCAGCCTCAGGGTCAGCTGAAAACAAAGGAGCCCCCACCCTGGGCAGCCTGCACCCACACTCACGTCTTGAAGCAGGGGTCTCCAGAGAGCAGGAACATCCCGATGGTGACCTGTGATACAGGAGGGTTAGCCATACCACGTCCATCCACTCAGCCCAGGCGCCCGGCCTCCCACGGCCTCCCTGCTCAGGCTCCAAACAGGGCTTGGAGTCTAATCCCGGCTGCGGCCCCTGCTGACCCTGGTGAAGCCATCACACCTCACTGAGCCCCCATTTCCTCATGCAGAAGGTAGAACCGATCCTGACACCTGCTTCATGAGAGTGGAGAGGATGCAGTGAGACCAGGCTTCTCTTGGCTTCGTACCTGGCTCAGCGACTGGACAGCAAAAGCCAGCTACTGTTATTTCAGAACTGCGGCTACACCGGGAGCCCCCGCAGCAGGGGCTGCGAGTCACTCTCCATCCTCAGTGCCCAGGGCTCCAGGAGGTGTGGGAGCACAAGCGACATGGCAGAGGGACGGAGCTCGAGAATCCCGCGGTGAGGAGGGGGTTCCCGAGCCTAACACTGGGAGAGGGAGCGCTCATCTAGTCCAACACAGAGGGCAGGGGCTTTGTGAACGTTTTTTGAATAAAGTAAAGCAAAAACCCATTAGAAACTTAACAATTCAATATCCACTTGGACAAAGATTTTGGCAATGGCCCGAACCAGGCAATGTTTAGGTCCTCAAATCTGGACTGAGAAGGAACACAGCTGGGAAAGAGGCGCTCAGATCCCAGCCACCACCGACAAAAAGAAGACTACTGGGGTGAGGCTTGGGGGTATTTTTACTGGATAATTTTTTGGCCATGACAGCACCCTACAAAGGTGATGGCCTCAGACTGCAGATGAGGGAACTGAGACCCAGACTCAGAGGAAGTGACTGCCCACGGCCCTATAGATAGGATGTGGCCTTGAAGCTGAACCCACCTGCCCCCCAGGTGTCCTTGAACTGGCCTGAGGTGTATGGGGCCAGTGGGGTGAGGGTGAAAGGTCTTAGCTCCCCCCACAATCAGCCTGTACCTTTTTGGTGTCTAATTCTCTCTGCAAAGGGTCTGGGAGTCCCTAGAGCCTCTGCCCACCACTTCTGGAAGCTCTGCCCCAGCACAACCTGCTCCCACTAGGTCACCTGGCAGAGATGCAGTTAGGACGAGACTGTTTTCTCAGCCAGGTGGGAGGGTGTGGAGACAAGGAAGAGAGGTGTGGGGTGGTAGATGCCCAGATATCTCTGTCCCCAGAGGCCAAGAAGTAGCGGCCTGGGGGGCAGAGAGCGGCCCCAGCCACCCAGTCTGCCCAGGGGGAGGGGCTTCCCTGGGACCTCAGGCTGCCTCATGCCATGTGGGACTGGACTATGGGAAGAATCTGGACTACCGGCTCACCACGTGCCAGCTCTGCTGACTCCAGGCAAATGATCTAACCTCTGAGCCTCAACTGCTTCCTATGCAAAGCTGGGACTAACAATGGACACCACACCCACGGGGCTGCTGTCAGGCATCACGAGACAAGTGGTGGCATCGCTCAGCTATGTTGATCTCATTGAACTTAAAGAGACTGTTGGGGTCCAGCCACAATTATGGATGGGGAAACTGAGGCCAATGGCTGGTAGCTTCCTGACCCAGGGCCCACATCCTCCTAGAATCCCTCACTGCCTGTCCAGGGGAAGAAACTGTATTTTTAACAACCCTGCAAGGAACCTGAGGAGGAGCAGGTCTGCCACTGTCCCATGGTGAGAGGGGGCAGAAGCAGCAGCAGGGCCCTAGTACCTTGAGGATAGAGTTGTCCTGGCGGGTGTTCTTCGTGTCATATCCCTCCAGCAGGCAGCAGCGCACGGTGGAGCCCGAGCCTGCAAACTCAGCCAGGTTCAAGTCGGCGAAGCCCAGCTGGGAGGGAGAGAGGAGACTGTGGGAGGCTGCAGAGAGTGTGGGTGCAGGGCTGACAGCACAAGGGTTAACTTGGCAACGGAGGAAGAGGAGGAGGAGGAGGAGAAAGGGGAGGAGAAGGAGGAGGAGAAGCAAGTTAAGCCCCACTACAGCCCAGACTGACTGTTGCATAACCTGCACCCAAGGACAGAGGCCGGGGCTGGTGGCTTGGGCTGGCGGCTCCAATGTGGCAGGGCCAGGAGCTCACATCCCTGAGCTGCACAAAGCGCCCTTTGTACTGTGTCCCAGAGTGCACTGGGGCAGCACCCGAGATGAAAGGACATTGTTGTCTGTGACACAGACACATTGTTCCCTGAGAAACAAGGCTGCGCTGTGGGAGCCGCCAGGACAGCGGGCAGGGGGGAGGAAAAGCCCGTGGGAACTTGGCATTGGGATGGTGGGTGGGGGGCACTCAGCAGGGTGCACAGGAGCCCCTCGTGGAGGCTGGAGTGAGGGGCGGTCGGGCAGTCGGTGGTGATGCTCCTTGGGTACAGAGAGAGGAGCGAGGGATGGGGAAGGAAGTGGAGAGAGTACAAGAACATGGTCTAAGAGCTAAGCAGGCCTTTCACATGGAAACCGATTCTGGCAGACGTGGAGCGGCAACAGAGGTTAAGGTGAGAGGCTGCTGGGATTAGAGACGGGACAACCAAACCAACCAGGGAGGTTTACTGAGCACCTGCTACGTGCGAGTCTCTGCTGCAGACTCTGGGGCATGGGTGCCAGAATCAGGGACCCAGGTCAAGTCCCAGCCCTGCCACAGACTCAGTGACCCCCACTTGACAGACAAGGAAATGAAGGTGCAGAGAGAGGAGGTGACATGCACAGGGCCCCAGGCTTAACCAGCAGAACCAGGCCTGAAAGTAGGCCTGATCAGCGTCAAGTCTTGCCACCTCTCTGGGCCTCAGTTTCCTCCTGTGTCAAGGCTGCTGCGCCAGTGTGGACATTTGATTGGAGAACGAAAGGGAAGGGCCTGGCAGGTCTGACAAGTGCTAGGCACATGGCAAACATTTACCGGAGGGACGCAAGATGCTCCAGCTGTTTGCTGGCCGTTTCTTTCCTGGCTGGGCAGCTGTCCTCACCCACGTGAATCAATGGGAGGAGACATTTCCACTCTGTGGCACCTTCCACAGGCCAGTTTTGGCCATCCTGCCCTCTGCTCCTGGAGAGGCCCAGGAGTGCCCAGCCAGGGCCGAACGCAGAGCGCACATCCCAGGACGCTGAGCTTCCTGAACTCTGGGTGGTGGGAAGAACACGCCCTGCGCACACGGTGAGGTGAGGCAAAGGCATTTCCCCTCCGAACTGACGAAGCCCACCCCCTGCCACTGTGCCACCTCCCTGGGGAGGCCCCAGAAGGGAGTGGACTGTGAGTCCCCACAGAGAAAGGGCTTTAAGGGCACAGCAGGCTTATTCAAAGCCAGGGGTGACCCCTCCAGAGGCCGTGTGCCTTCTCCTTCCCCAGTGGGAAAGGTTTCAATGAGGAGGACTGGCCTGTCTGTGGGTGCAGTGAGAACCTGGCAACAACACAGAATCCAGCAGCAGAGACTGGCTGAGTCACCCGTCGCCCAGCCGCACAAAGGGACACTGCTGCTGCTAAAGCAAAAGGACGTTTGTGATGACATGCAAACATGCCCATGACGTATTGGCGAGAAAAGCAGCAAGCTGCAAAATCCATTTGGAACAAGTCCCTTTTGTGTGTTCAAAAATCACATTGTGTGCACATACACATGGACTCATTTAAGGTGTTCACTCTCCATTTCTCTAAGCCACAGGCAAAAAGTTTATTCATTTCTCTGCGTGTATGATATCTTCCATATTATTTTTTTCTTAAAAGGTCTAGAAAGATCCTAAAGAATCTCAATGCTGGGATCTGGGGAGGAGGCCTGGAGAGGAAGGGGACAGAAACTACCTTTCCCACTCTTTATTTCATCCTCACCCAAGGATATTTTTACATTTATCTTCAGACAGAGTGGGAGGGAGGGAGAGAGAAGAGAGAAACATCGATGAGAGAGAGACACATCAATTGGTTGCCACCCGCATGACCCCAACTGGGGCCAGGGACGAATTGCAACCAAGGTACGTGCCCTTGGCTGGAATCGAACCCCCGACTCTTTGGGGGTTAAAGTGTCCGCAGACCGACACTTTAACTGCTGAGTCGAACCAGCCAGGGCTACCCTTTCCACTCTATGAACGTCTGTACCATTTGTGATGGAACAAACATATGCTGTCTTATATAAAGTGCAAAGATGATCAACAGAGATATTTCTGGCCCTGGCCAAGTAGCTCAGTTGGTTAGAGCATTCATTGTCTCAAAACACCAAGGTAGTGGGTTTCATTCCTGGACAGGGCACATACAAGTAGCAGCCAATAAATGCATAAATAAGTGGAACAACAAATCGATGTTTCTCTCTCTCTCTCTCTCTCTCTCTCTCTCTCAAATCAATAAAGAGAGAGAGAGAGAGAGAGAGATTTCCAAAAATAATATATCTCCTGTAGGGCTGCATATCTCTTGTTTGGATCATAGATGGGACTGGAAGTTCTCTTGGGAGCTTCTCTCATGCCTGTCCCATTCTGCCCCTCCCATCCCACCACCCCTTCACACAGTTGTACTCACCTTGGAATAAGTCTTCCCACCTTTCAGTTCCTGCACAGGGAGACAGACACAAGTAGCAGGGTGACAAGAGAATCCATAGGACCTCATATGTATCCCCAACCCCCAGCCCCCCAAAATGTAACCACCAATGGAGGACAAGGGACGGAGCAACTCACTCCATTTTCCCTGAGAGGGACAAGCCAGGGGATGGGCCTGAAGCCACCAGAGCAGTGTCCCCACACCCTTGGCCTTGGGCTTGCAGCCCCCAGCCCCAGCTCAAAGCCCAGCCTCACCTTGCGTACTGACACCCGGAAAACGCAGGGGTCCAGCAGGCCAGTGGCTGGGTTGGCGCTCATCTTACACACAAAGGTGAACCGCTTCCGCCACCGCACACAGTTCTCCTGCACCTCCTCCCTGTAGGCCAAAGGGACAGGTGAGCACAAGCATGCAGGTCAATGCTGTGGGAACCCGCGAGAAGCACTCAGGTCCAGGGAGGCAGTGACGGGAGGGTGCGGACAGGAAGGAAGGGGACCTCTCACTTTTCACTCTGTATCACAAAGTGACTGTATTTTCATAACAGAATGTGCTTGTGTAAGTGTTGTAAAAACAAAAATATGTAATAAAAAAGGAAAAACACAAGGGGAGTGAGGTCAGGCTGGGGCAGCTGCCTCTCCCTCTGCTCCCAGAACTGTCTCCCACCCCCCTGTTTTATGGCCTAGGGCAGCTCCTTCCGCTGCCGTTCCCTCCCACCAGCCAGGCTCCCCTGGCCATGTCACAGCAGTCTTCCCAGACTGAACCACCAGTCCATTTTATAGATGAGGAGACCGAGGCTAGGTACACTGCCTGGGACCACCCAGCCAGGAAACAGCTGGCCCTGAGCCCAGTACTGCCTGGCTCCAGAGCCCCTTCATCACACTGGTAATAACAGCCAGTGCGCACAGCGCTTCCCACGTGCCTGGCACCACTCAAAGCACCTTACAAACCCAGCGACCCCTGGAGCCTGCTCCAAGTGCCAGCAACCCATGGTCACGCCCACCCTGCCAATAGGGCAGTTACTACCATTAATCCAATCCCACATTCAAAGAAACCAGAACTCTGGGGCTGAGACCCTGGCCCCGAGGCCCACACATGGCAGGGCAGCGTCTTGAATCCCAGCAGCCGGGCTTTGGATGCCACACGTTTAACCCTCACCACTCCAGGGCTAAGACACCACTTGGGGCCCTCAGCATCCTGGCACTAACTTGGGGGTTGTCCTTCCAGCCTCCTGAGTTCCTCCTGGGCCTGGGGAGCATGACCAAACCCCAAATTCAGAACCCCCGTCAGAGGGAAGCGCTTTGTGCCCTGGGAGTGAGTGGGAGTTGGGAGCAGCTCATCTGAGCCTCTCCCAGCTGCTGTGGGGGCCCTGGCAGGAGCTGGGGGTGGCAGCAGCACATGGCAAGAGATGAGCTCTGCACCCCTGTGCAGCTCCCATCCCCCACAGCCCGTCTGGCAGAACCAGTGCTCAGGAAGGGGTAGCCACGGAAGGGAGGGGCTGGTATGAGAGACATTATCTCCAGCCTCATCCCACCTAACAGGAATGGCCAAGCGGACAGCTGAGGAAGTGACCTGAGGAGCGCAGGTTAATTGCCAGACTAGGGTCCGCACAGGAGCGTCTCCTGAACATGCTGCTTGCTTCTGCACCTTGGGAGCAGGCTCTACGCCACCCTCTTCTGCAGCTGAGGGCACTGAGGCAGCAAGAGACTGCTCCAGATCACGTCCCCAGTGACTGACGAGGTAGGATGCAAACCCAGGACTGTCTGACTGCAGAGTCACAGCCACCACCTTGGTTCACGGGCCACAGAGCCTGAGAAGCCCGGCAGGCGGAACCCACCAGGGTTGTGGGGCCAGCCGTGCTCTGCTCTGCGCCCGAGGCACCCACCCATGTCCCTGAGTGCCAAGTATGGCTGAGCACTGCAGCGGACTAACAGACCATTTGACAGTCACCCAGTGATGACTGTCAACAGGAGAGGGTGGGGGAGGGGGAGTTAGGAAGGTAACTGACTTCGGGGAGGTGACACTGAGGCTCAGGCCCCAATAAAGAGTGAGCAGCAGCCAGGGGGGAGACAGGTCCAGGCGAGGAAACAGTGAGTGTGGAGCAAACGTGCTCTAGGTTCCTGGGCTGACGCAAGCCTCTGAGCAGAGCCTGTGAGGAGCTCCCTCCTGGCTCCACAGGCTTGGAGGACGTGACCCTGGCTCATCCCATGTCCTGCCAGGTCTGTGACAAGAGGCAACAGGACACAGGTCAAGCAGACTTGGGCTCACAGCCCTCACTCTCTGTGCAACTCAGGCTGGGGATCAACCTCTCCACCCTCATTAGTAAAACAGGTGCACCAGCCACTCATTCATGGGTACCTGGGAGCATTCAGTGACATGAGCCCCTCAAGGGCCTGGTGGGGGGAGGTCCATGAGATATGCCTCATCCGATGAAGACGCTGGGGATCTAGAGAGACTCAGTCACCAGAATGCTCCAACCTTGTGAGGAGGGTGAGCTCCAGCAACCTCCCATAGCCCCAAGACTGGGACAAATAGAAAAGGCCAGGGCTAGAGACGAGGGGAGGAAAGAAAGTTCCCAACCCCCGACAGACATGGGCAGGGGCCCTCAGGAAGCAGGAGCCCAGGGCTGGGGCATCAGCCCGCCAGCTCCACTCACTCACTCATTCACTCACCCTCTTATTCATTCATTCACCCATCTATCCATCCATCCATCCATCCAGCCATCCAGCCATCCAGCCATCCAGCCAGCCAGCCATCCAGCCATCCATCCATCCATCCATCCATCCATCCATCCATCCATCCATCCATCCATCCATCCATTCAAATTACTGAACTCCGGCTGTGTGCCTGTTCCCGTTCTATGTACTGGCATGACAGCAGTGACCAGCTTAAACTCTGGTGGGAACAGAAAGATAAGGATTAAACAAACGAGAAAAATATATGAAGGTAAAAAGGAAGAATTAGCCCTGGCCGGTTTGGCTCAGCGGTTGGAGCGTCGGCCTGTGGTACAGAGAGACCCGGGTTCGGTTCCCGCTAAGGGCACGTACCTCGGTTGCAGTTTGTCCCCGGCCCTGGTTGGTCGTGTGGGTGGCAGCCACTCGATGTGTCCCTTCATATCGAGGTTTCTCTCTCTCTCTCTTCCTCTCTCTTCCTCCCGCTCTATCTGAACAAAAAATGGAAAAAATGGAAAAATGTCCTCGGGTGAGGATAAAAAAAAAAAAGGAAGAATTAAAACTATCTCTACTGGCAGATGACTTGATCTCATATGTAGAAAATCCTATGAAATTTACTAAAAAACTATTAGAATACAAGAGTTCAGCAATGTTGCAGGATACAAGATCAGAATTAAAAATATATTATTTCTATATACTAGCAAATATTCATAATGAAATGAAGACTATTTTACTAAAAAAGAATAAAATTGGTATAAATTTAACAACAGATGTGTAAAACACATACTCTGAAAAACTGCAAAACATTGTTGAAAAAAATTCAACATCTAAATAGGAATTAGATCTTCTTGGTGAAAAACTGAAACCTTTTCCTTTAAATCAGGAACAAGACAAGGATGCCCACTCTCACTAGTCTTATTTAACATAGTTCTGGAAATCCTATCCAGAGCAATCAAGCAAGAGAAAGAAATAAAAGGCATCTAAGCTGGGAAGGAAGAAGTAAATGTGTCACGTTTTGCAGATGACAATATTCTGATACAGAAAACTCCAAAGATTCAACCAAAAATCTATTAGAAACAATAAACGAATACAGTAAAGTTGCAAGACGCAAAATCAGTGTAGAAAAATTCACTGCATTCCTATATACTAACAATAAAATTTCAGAAAAAGAAATGAAGAAAAAAATCCCTTTTGCAATTGCAACCAAAAGAATAAAATACCTAGTAAAAAACATAACAAAGCATGTAAGGACCAATATACCGAAAACTACAAAGCATTATTAGAAGAGATTGAAAAAGACACAATAAAATGGAAAGATATTCGTGTCCATGGATTGGCAGAATCAACATGTTAAAATGGTCATATTCCCCAAAGTAATATACAGATTTAACGCAATCCCCATCAAAATCACAATGCCATTTTAAAAATAAATAGAACAGCCCCAGCCAGTTTGGCTCAATGGTTGGAGCATCGGCCCTCAGACCAAAAGTCACAACCAATTGATGTATCTCTCTTACATAGATGTTCCCCCCCTCCCCCTCCTTCTCTCCCTCCCACTCTATCTGAAAATCAATGGCAAAATATCCTTGGGTGAGGATTTTTTAAAAAAGAAAAAAAAAATAGAACAAAAAAACTGTCAGGTTTGTAGGAACCACAAAAGACCCCAAATTGCCAGAGCAATCCTGAGAAAAAAGAACAAAGCCACAGGCATCACACACTTGACTTCAAATTATACTACAGAGCTACAATAATTAAAACAGCATGGTATTGGCAGAAGAACAAACAGATCAATAAAAACAGAACCGAGAGTCCAGAAATAAAACCATAGGCATATGGGCAAATAATTTTTGACAAAGGAACTAAAAACACACAATGGAGAAAAGAAAGACTCTTCAATAAATGGTGCTGGGAGAATTGGAAAGCCACATGCAAAAGAATGAAACTAGATTATAGTTTGTCCCCATGTACAAAAATTCAAAACAGATCAAAGACCTAAGTATAAGATCTGAAGCAATAAAGTACATAGAAGAAAACATAGGTACTAAACTTATGAACCTTGGTTGTTGAGAACATTTTATGAATTTGACCTCATGACCCCAAAGGCAAGGGAAGTAAAGGCAAAAATAAATGAATGGGACTATATCAAACTAAAAAGCTTCTGTAGCCTGGCCACTGTGGCTCAGTGGTTGAGCATCAACCCATTCCTCAAGGGGTCACGGGTTCAATTCCCGGTCAGGACACATGTCCAGGTTGTGGGCCCAATCCCCAGTGTGGGGGACATGCAGGAGGCGGCCAATTGATTTTCTCTCTCACTGATGTTTCTATCTCTCTCTGCATCTCCCTTCCTCTCTCTAAATAAATAAAGAAAAAAATTAAATAAAAAGCTTCTGCATAGCAAAAGAAACAACAAAACAAAAAAACCAACCGAATGGGAGATGATATTCACAAACAATAGCTTTGGATAAGGGGTTACTATCCAAAATATATCAAGAACTCATACAATTCACCACCAAACAAACAAACAATCCAATTAAAAAATAGACAGAGGACCTAAACAGACACTTCTGCCAAGAAGACATACAAATAACCAACAGCATGGGTCCACGCTCAACCTCTGAGCCACACTGGCTGGGCGTGAAAGATATATGAAAGATGCTCAACGTCACTAGCTGTTAGGGAATTGCAAATAAAACTACAAGGAGATACCAC